AAAGACTCATTATCCCCACATTCATTTGCTAGAGCCATCAATTACCCTGACACTCAGGCATCATTGCACCTGAAAACGTCTCCGAGCCGCACTCCTTTAGTATCCTTCCATTCTATCACCAGGTTCTGCTGACTTCAATCCTATTTCCTGCAGACTGAAGCAATACTTTGGGTCCCCACCCCCATTTTTATATTTTTTGGACATCCTTCATTTTGTGAAATCTGCTTTGATCTCTCTCCATCTGCTATTCCCGACAACAGGCAAATAGATTTCTGTTTTTTAAAATAACTTCACTGAGCTGTCGATGGCTGCAGACGGAAGGAGAGGTTTTTTTTATGGCCATTCTGAGCCAGAAAGCAGTCTTTCAGGGTGGAAAATGCCGCTACCATCAGCTTTAGCTATAAGGACTAAAAAATAATTTGCCCATCATCTAACGCAAGCAATTTTAAAAGCAGAAGGTGTTGTGGCTGGAAGAAAAAGACATCAGGATCTGCCTTGGTCATCTTTTGATAATATCTTCTTAAAGTCGTGTCTACAATCTGCTAGGAGGAAGAGTTGTCAGTTCTGCACATCTCCACATCAACTTTTCGCGATTTTTTTTTTTTAAAATAAAAAGGGTCTTTATGAAAAGTCATCAGCATTTTTAGGGTGGATTTCTTCTAATGCACATTTTTGTGTGTGATTTTTGCCTAACCGAATGCATTTCTGCAAGGCAGGTTTCCCCCATAGGATGCATTTTGGTGCATCATTTCAATAAATCAATGTGTTGTTGTTGTTTAGTCGTGTCCGACTCTTCGTGACCCCCTGGACCAGAGCACGCCAGGCACTCCTGTCTTCCACTGCCTCCCGCAGTTGGTCAAACTCATGTTAGTAGCTTCGAGAACACTGTCCAACCATCTTGTCCTCTGTCGTCCCCTTCTCCTTGTGCCCTCAATCTTTCCCAACATCAGGGTCTTTTCCAATGAGTCTTCTCTTCTCATGAGGTGTCCAAATTATTGGAGCCTCAGCTTCAGGATCTGTCCTTCCAGTGAGCACTCAGGGCTGATTTCCTTAAGAATGTTGAGGTTTGATCTTCTTGCAGTCCATGGGACTCTCAAGAGTCTCCTTCAGCACCATAATTCAAAAGCATCAATTCTTTGGCAATCAGCATTCTTTATGGTCCAGCTCTCACTTATGCACCCTTTAACACAGTATCTGCATTTGGGCATCCAAGCGGCATAAAAAATTAATAAATGCTGTAACAGCAACAATAGCAGCAATGTGTTTTCTGCACATGACTTGGCTGGAGAACCTCATTGCAAATCTATATTCAGAAAGTGCAAATTTGGAAGGATGGCTGTTTTTCAGTACACATATTACATTGGACCATAGCAAGAGGCCTTATGCCGTGTCACCAGACCAGTGGTCCATCTAGGCCAATATTGTCTACACTGGCTGGCAGCAGCTCTCTGGGAAGATTTGTTCCAGAAGGTGTGGATGAAGTAGGCTTGCCTTTAAATGAGAAATGAATCGAATTCCATCCCTTTTAGTGAGACCCTGGCCTCCTACCTAACCTGATTGCCTTCTTTAGCATCTATGCCTCACCTTTGCCAACCCGGGGCCCTCCAGATTTTTTGGACTACAACTCCCATCAGCCCCTGCCACCACACGCTGATGGGAGTTGTAGTCCAACGTGTCTGGATGGGCACCAGGTTGGCAAAGGCCAGGTTAGACTTTGGTTAGGCAGAAGCTGAGCATCTGACTTTGTTTTATCTGAGCTGCCCTGCTGGTTCTGGGCCCGGCGATAGCAGCCGCCGACTGAATCATTGCTGCCATGTAAGGACAATGCTGTCTATAAACCGAATTGTTCTTTTCGCTGAAATGATGCTTGTTAATATTGAGTGATCTTTGCATCCCCCCCCCAATGACAGGTTTCCGAAGGTAGGAAATGTTCCCATCTCCTTATTTGATTTTATTGCAAGATATAAATTTCTCCTTGCACCCCCCCCCATCCTTCCTCTGTTCCCATTGCGGAGGGAGGAGAGAGGGATTGCTTAGCAACCAGATTTAAAATAAAATAAAGAAAATCGATAAACTTCCACAGAAAAGCTACAAGCCAAAATTTGATTTGTGTGCTTATTTATTTAATATTACAAAGCCCTTTCCTCTTAGTTGACCTCCCTGACGAGAACTCGGCACAGTGCATTCTTATGAGACTGCATCCGTTTCACAGTACCGAGAACATTTGGATGTAGTGTGTTTTTAATCAGGAGTGGTTTACCATATATTCACACGTGTGAAGCTATGCTGATTTAAACTGACTTGCATTATGGCTGCATTATGACGAAACAGGTATAGCCATTCCAGCAAACATCACCAGGCTTAGGAGCCATTCTAACAGCAGTGGTTTTCTCTGCCCATCAATTGAACCTGGACCATTAGGGTGAGTGTGGCCCCAGCAACATCAGCTCTGCCCTTAGCCAGTCCCCACCTACTTCCCTACTTACAACCAGTCAAGCAGGCTGGCACTGGCTGCCAGCTTCCACCTCCTTAGACCTAGAGGAGATGGGCATCTGTTTAACCCCCCCGCTGCTCCAAATGTGCAAGAACGGCATGGAGGGCAATCGCCACAGCGTCCTCTGTCGATCTTTTCGTTTTATAAGCAAATTGGAATGTGTCCAGTCCCTCCGGTAGGCAGGCAATGACATAATTTCGTACCAGCTTTTCAAAGCACTTCATGATTATAGGTGTGAGTGCTACTGGACGAAAATCATTCAGATCTTCCGGGTTAGATTTTTTTGCTATTGGAACGATAATAGAGGACTTTAGGCAGGATGGAACAATAGCCTGAGCTAGGGCTCGATTTAAAATCCCAGTGAAAACTCCTGCTAGTTGATCTGCACAGTCTCTCAATACCCTTCCAGCTACCCCATCTGGCCCTGTGGCCTTCCTTGGGTTGATTCCCTTCAACACCTTCCTCATCTCTTCTTTTTCCACAGAGACTACTGCATTCCTTTGTACTGATGATGGTAATGGTGGTGATGATGGCAAAGCCTTCACAGGGAGTGGTGGTGGTGTTGGTAAAGCCTCAGCAGGTGTTGCTGCAGATGTTACTTCAAAACGGGCAAAAAAGGCATTCAAATTCTCTGCGAGGGATGCCCCTCCCTCGTCTGCCAGGGAGTCCTTGGATATATACCCTGTTAATTCTTGTACACCTTGCCACACCTGCCTGGTGTTGTTACTTTGTAGATGATTCTCCAGCCGCTGTCTATATGCCTCCTTTGCTACACGGATACCTCTCTTTAGATCGGCTCTAGCTAAGCTGTACAGCGACTTATTTCCACTTCTGAAAGCAGTATTTCTTGCCTTTAGCAACCCCTGGACCTCCCTTGTCATCCAGGGCTTCCTGTTTGGGTAGATCTTTATCCGGCGCCTCCGTGTTACATTGTCAGTGCAGAACCTAATATAGTCCAACACTTGCTCAATATGAGTCTCTACATCCTGTTGGGCGAATACCTCCCAATCGGTGTCATGAAAACAGTCTTGTAGTTGTTGGGATGCTTCAGCTGGCCATATTGTAATATCCCTCTTTATAGCTGGAATCCGTTTCCTCAATGGAATATATTCAGGAGTCAGGAGCAGGGACACATGATCAGATTGGCCTAGATGTGCCAATGGTTCGGCCTTATAGGCCTGTTTGACATTTGTATACAGCCTGTCCAGAGTCTTTTCTCCCTGGTTGCACACTTTATGTGTTGATAGAATTTAGGTAGGACCACTTTCAAATCTGCCTGGTTGAAATCCCCGCATACAAGAAATGCAGCCTCGGGGTACTTGCCTTGTTGCCTGCTAATGGCATCATGCAGAAGACCCATTGCCTCATTGATGTTCGCATCAGGTGCAATGTATACTATAGTTATCAGTACTGCTGTAAATTCTCGGGGGATATATATAGGTCTGCATTTAAGCGTCATAAATTCCACAGTTGGAGAGCAATAGCTAGCTATCACAGCGTGGTTTGTGCACCAGCTGTTATTCACGTATGCACACAAACCTCCCCCCCTTAAAAAAAGCATACAGTGGTACCTCGGGTTACAGATGCTTCAGGTTACAAACGCCTCAGGTTACAGACTCTGCTAACCCAGAAATAGTACCTCACGTTAAGAACTTTGCTTCACGATCAGAACAGAAATCGCACAGTGGCGGATCGGCGGCAGTTGGAGGCCCCATTAGCTATAGGTTATAACCTCAGGTTAAGAACAGTTTCAGGTTAAGAACGGACCTCCAGAACAAATTAAGTTCTTAACCCAAGGTACCACTGTACTAGAATAATAGACTGGGAAGGGACCCAAGGGTCATCTAGTCCCACCCCCTGCGATGCCCGCATCCCAGCTCAAGTCACCACGCAGCAGCCTTGCCGGAAGAGAAAGACACGAAGAAAACTAGTCTGAGCAACCTTAAGCCTAAAACTCCTTGCTATATCGGGGACCCCCATCTCTCTCAGGGTCAGGGTGTAGGAAGGCGCCGCGGCCGCGAGGGGTCGCCGTCGGGCAACGCTCTGTCCTTGCGGGAGGTGGGGTGGAGCGCGGGGTGGGGTGTGGGGGGGGAAGAGTTGGATTAATTTTCTCTTTTCCCTCCCTTATTAAAGGCAGAATGCTGTCTCCGGCTGGAGGAATGCGGAACCTTCCCCCGTGCAAAGCAGACGGGCTGCTACCGCTTGCAGGAGTGATGCTGAAAGGGCAGGAGGGACGGGGAGGGACGCCGCGCTCCCCTCGCCCCCACCCCTAAGGGCTGCTGCCAGCAGCGCAGGGGGGGGGTCCTACATGAAGCAGCCCCCTCCCCGAAATCGACAACCCTGCCCTCTCCTCCCCCTCCCCTCCCTCCCGCCACCCCCCCACCCCGGCTTGTAAGCCTCTCCCTCGCTGGCAGCTGAGCTCTATGAAGATCGCTTAGGGCAGAGTGGGCGCTGCTTCTCTCCCCCCCCCCACAGCACCTGCCCCCCACCCGCAACGAGCGCCCCCATGGCGAAGGAGAAATATAAGAAGGCTCTGCTGGAACTGCTCCGGAGGGAGGGCAACGACGTGTGTGCGGACTGCGATGCGCCCGGTAAGGCGGAAAGGTGGGGTGGGGGCGCGTGGTGGTGATGGGGGGGTCCTTTCTTGGGCTGAGCTGCGAGGTGGGGGACGAGGGAGGGACACCCCGGAGGGAGGTGGTTTTTTGGGGGAGCACGCACCTGCTCCTCGCAGCAGTCCAGCGCCTACCCCTCCCGCACCCCAACTTTCCTTTAACCGCCCCCCCTCCAGCCTCCCAATCAAATTGCTCCCGGGGCTAAGGGTGGGGCGCTAAATGGGTCTCCCTCCCGGACACTGTTCCTCAGCCTTATCTTGGAGGGTGGTAGATGACTGGGTGAAGCTCCTTCCTATCTTTCTTAACCCGCCCCCCCCCCCCCCTGCCGCCGCCACCCTCCGGTTTCCCCATCCTCTTTCTCCTCCTCTTCTCGGTCTCTGCTAGGCTGTTGCAAGATTCAGGAAAGAGGAACCGGTAGCCGGTGGAAGGGAAGAGCGTCCTCGCTGCGCTGAGAAAGGGGGGGGGGATGGATATCTGTAAGCTGAGTATATGGAACCCCCCCCCCAAAAAAAAACTTCCAGAGAGGAAACTCAAGTCATCCCGTTATTTATTCTTAGAGAAAGTGTGTGCTCTGTCCAAGGCTAGCCCTACTCCGAGTAGACCTATTGAGATGAATGGCTCCAATTTGCTGCTTTAATTCATGACCCTGAGCCAGTTACAGCATTTGAAACACAATATGAAAAGCAGTTTGACTTCCTATTGCAGAAATAAGGTTAGCCATGCCCTTTTCATTTCAGTGAGTAGGATTTGCACTGGAGTTATAGATGATAGATATAGCTTTGGTGTGAGTGTGATCCAATGCCAACTTAAATGACAAAGGGAAATGAAGCATTGGGTGGAGAGATGATCTCTGAAATATGCTGGGAGTCCTACATAACAATCTCTTTCTCTCTGGTTTTGTTGGGAGTCAATAGCCACCTTCATTGGGGTGGGAGGTGCAGTCTGTTTTCCCACCTAAAGAGGGTGTTTGGTGTCAACTAAGGATGCCAACTTATCCAGGGTATCCTGCGCCTGTCATTGATCTGAATGTGCTGAAATTGGCAGGATAGACATCTCACAGCACAGAAAGGATGCCCTTATTGGCTGTGGAGGACTGACAGCAAAGTCTGCATGGAAGCTGCAGGAGTGTGTGTGTGTGTGTGTGTGTGTGTGTGTTGGTGGCAACCTTACAGCTTGTGGAAGAGGTCAGGCACCCCCCCCCCCAACATACTATGAGAAGAGGCAGGGAGATGTCTCTCTTGACTCAGGCGACCCCTCCCCATCCTCTCGCTTTCTCCCTGGCTTGAGTTGGAAGTGTTGATGTCATACCAAATGCTACTTTGGGACTCAAGCTGTACGTCTGCTGCGAACTGCAGTGCAGGCTGCAATTCCTAAAAGAAGCAGGAGGCAAGCATGCCTGTTTAAACTGGCAACGACAAGGCAGGAGCTGATAGGCTGGAGGGGTGGAAAGTTGCACCAAAGACAGGAGGGGGGCACAGAAATGGCCCCAAGTAAACCTAATAAGCTTATTTTATATCTTCCAATCTGTGGAGCCTGGTTGAGGGGAATGCAAGGGACACTGCCCCAGCAACCTCAGACTGACCTTAGGGTGTGTTTGATTAACACCTTAGAGTGTAGTGAAGTTGCTGGTTCCCTCTGCCCCTTGGTTGTTCACATCAGCATGGCTTTGTTAGTGTTAGCTAAAGTGGTACCTCAGGTTAAGAATAGTTTCAGGTTAAGAATGGACCACCGGAACGCGTTAAGTTCCTAACCAGAGGTACCACTGTACCTTATTTTACAAGGTGTATTATACTGTGTATAAACTGCATTATACTGATTTACTGTAAATTTTGTTCCATTTAATCCCTGCAAGATGGCCACAAATATAGCTTGGCTTATACAGCGGCCAATAAATAAATAAATAAGTACAGTGGTACCTCGGGTTACAGATGCTTCAGGTTACAGACTCCGTTAACCCAGAAATAGTGCCTCAGGTTAAGAACTTTGCTTCAGGATGAGAACAGAAATCGCGCAGCAGCAGCGGGAGACCCCATTAGCTAAAGTGGTACCTCAGGTTAAGAAGATTTTCAGGTTAAGAACGGACCTCCAGAACAAATTAAGTTCTTAACCCGAGGTACCACTGTATGTTTGCATACAAACTAGGGGGACATAGATGGGCAGGGATGACTTCACCCTACACAGAAGTGTTCATGCCTTGGCAGGAAACAAATCAAGGCTTCCCAATCATTGTAAAGCTTGTTTGAGAAATGACACATCCAACAGTAGTCACAGAATCATGGAGCTGGAAGGGAGCCCAGGGCCATCTAGTCCAACCCTCTGCAATGCAGGAATCGTGGCCATCCAGTCTCTGTTTACATACCTCCAACAAAGCAGAGTCCACCTCCTTTGCTAATCTTTTATTGCAAGGATCCATAGGCCCTTTTGGAGAACTGTTGTGGGTCAGCATGGATTGAAACCTGGTGCTTGAAACTCGGTGAGTGCACATTCAACAGGAGGGTGCACACAGGGGCAGATTGGGCCCGTCAACTTGGAAGGGGAGCCCGTCCAGGAGAAGGAAAACTGGTCCTAAACCTCCACTGCCTTGCATTCATTCATGAGAAAGGCTTGGGGAGTAAACCCTGAGGAACAATCTGTACCCGCTATCTTTCAGGACACCTTTGGGAGAAGAAAAGGCCAAATAATAATAATAATACTAATACTACTACTAATAATAATTTATTATTTGTACCCCGCCCATCTAGCTGGGTTTCCCCAGCCACTCTTGGCGGCTTCCAACAAAGATTAAAAATACATTAAAATGTCACACATTAAAAACTTCCCTGAATAGGGCTGCCTTCAGATGTCTTCTAAATGTCAGGTAGTTGTTTATAATAATAATAAAAATGATAATAATTTATTATTCATACCCCGCCCATCTGACTGGGTCTCCCCAGCCACTCTGAGTGGCTTCCAACCAAATATTTAAAATAATACAGCGTCAGACATTAAAAGCTTCCCTACACAGGGTGTCTTTTAAAAGTAAAATAGTTGTTTATCTCTTTGACATCTGATGGGAGGGCACTCTACAGGGCGGGTGCCACTACCGAGAAGGCCCTCTGCCTGGTTCCCTGTAGCTTGGCTTCTCGCAGTGAGGGAACCGTCAGAAGGCCCTTGGTGCTGGACCTCAGCGTCCGGGCAGAACGATGGGGGTGGAGACGCTCCTTCAGGTATACTGGACTGAGGCCGTTTAGGGCTTTAAATGTCAACACTAACACTTTGAATTGTGCTTGGAAATGTACTGGGAGCCAATGTAGGAGCAAACCCTATACAAATTTGGAGTGGAGTCTCTAAGACATCTTGTACACCTCCTTCTGGCAACTCCTGCAGCTAAGCTGGTGCCCAGCATATTGCCCTGCTTTCCTTTGGACCATACCTGCGAGGCTGAGAGGGGTGGTCTTGACATCTGGGCAGCCCAGGACCTCCAGATGCTCTGCCCAGGACTGTGCTCCAAGGAGGTCACTTCAGTACTGCCAACACTGCAAAAATAGCATGGGAGACAGCAGAGAACACAGCCTTAGCCAGTCCTCAGCTGCCTGCCTTCCTACTTAACCCCAGTCCAGGGGTTGACACTGGTTTTCAGCTTCCTCCTCCTTAGTCTCAGTGTTGCCAGCACAGAACTCAGCAGAGAGGAGGTGGATGGGGACCGAACTGCAGTTAGATTGCTCTGCCTGTCCTCCTTGTTGTCCTCCCTGCCTTCTGCCCTCTTGGCACCAGCCTCCACTGGGTTAAATCCCTGGCATCTCCATATACGGCTCCATATACCTTTGACTGAAACCCAGGAGAGCCCTTGCAAGCCAGCATAGACAATAGATGGGTCTGACTCAGTAGAAGGCAGTTTTCAGTGCCCGCTCTGACTGGCAGCGGCACCTGCAGGGTTTCAGGCAGAGATGGGAACTTTCCAGCTCAACTGCCTCGCCCATTTAGCTGGAAGTCTGGGGAACTGAACCTAGGAGCCCTTTTTTTACTGGTCCTTCACTGTGTGGCTGCTCCCGTCTTTTCATTGCCATGCCCTGCCTAGGAGAAGGCCTCCTGCCCTTCCAACTTTCCTGCCAGGCACTCCTTCACCAGCAAAGATAATAAACACACAACACTGCTCTGCGACTGTTGGCAGAGACCTCCGAGAGGCACACGGCACGCTGAACTTTGCTCCACAACTTGAATGTGTACCTGTGTTTTTTAAAAATAAAGGCAAACAAGAACCCATCTGCTCCTGACTGCATTGCCGGGTTGCCTTTTTTAAATAAGAAAAAATCTGCAACTCACTGATTTTAAAACAACACAATTTATTAAAAAATTGTGGATTATATACTCTGATGAACAGTAGAACAACACAAATTTGTTTCTTTAGGGCAGGGAGTAGGGGATGCTTTGAGTCTGGGGGCCACTTTTTGTTCTGGGCAACCTCCTGAGGGCCACCTCTCAGTGGTGGGCGGGGCCAGAGCAAAAGTGGGCGGAGCAACCAAATTAATTGTATAGGCTAGTTCCTACACATACACAATGCACCTGGCTTTTTCCTCCATCCGGGAAAACAAGAGTCATTCTCAGAGTTCAAGGACACATTCCAGGCAGGCAAAAGTCCTGGAGGAAGGTGTGAAGCGAGGCTGGTGAGAGGCATGGCCTTGGGAGGGTCCCAAGAACCTGGTAAGGATGCCTGGAGGGCCACATTTGACCCTAGAGCCTGAGGCTCCCCCATTCCAGTCAAGGAAAAGGACTGATGTTCTGTGTTCAGAAGGTTCTTTGCTCCCTGGCATCTCCAGGGAGAGCTGCAAAAGTCGTCCTTCTCGAAAACCTGCCAGTCTGTGTAGATAGCACGGACCTAGACGGGCCAATGCGCTGACTTTTTATAAGGCAGTCTGTCCATCCTTAGAGAAAAGGCAGGACAAAAACATGGCCAACCCTATCATTAGGCAGAGTGAGGTAACGTCCTCAGGCACCACATGCATGAGGAAGAGCAGGGAGCTACAAACACCTAACTCATACAACACGTGCCACCAGGGGGAATGTGGACTCCTCCGCCTTTGCTTCTGATTGGGGGCGTTTTGTGATTTAGATGACTGAACAATCTCGTGTTTGGCACAATCCCACGAAATATGACTTTATTTGGCAATGCTCGTGATCATTCGGCATGTTTGCTGCAAATATGAACGTTGTATTCCGCTGTGCGATATATTTTACGCCGCGCATTCTTTTTAAAGAAGATGATGATTTTATTCTTCCTGCTTTTACGGCTGTTTTTTCCTTTAAAAAATTACTTTTAGCTTGATGTTTTGTTTGTTTGAATAAATTGGGGCAACCCAGCAGTGGTGTAATGTGGTTTGCCGGTGCCCGGGGGAGCTCGGCTGAATGACATGGCCCTTGTGGGCAAATACCCCTGAGGAGGATCCAGCAGCCATGTGCCCTTTGACCCCAGCCTTGCAGAGTGAGGCCCTGGGTTTGCATCCTTCCCACGCTGCCCTACCAGCCCTGCACCGCTTTGCGAGGCTGGGAGCTGATCTGAATGATTTACCTGGGGAGATGGAGAGTGTTGTGTTCATCCTGGACTGCTTAGAGGAAAGGTGTAATGAAAATGAAAAAGCAATTGAGAATACATATGTGTGTGAACCAGATCTCTGGGACCACTCTCAGCTGTGGATCCCTGACATTGACATGTTGCCTTCTCAGCTGGGCAATTGTAGACTTCTCTAGATATCCCTAGATGATAGGACCTGTGTGATGTAGTGGCAAAGGTCCCAGGAGACCAGGGTTCAAATCCTGACTCAGTTTTGAAACTCAGTGGGTGACCTTGGGCCAGTCTCACTGTTTCCCTGCCTAGCCTACCTCACAGGGTCGTTGTGAGCGTAAAATGGGGTTTGAGAGAACTGTGTGTGCCGCTTTGAATTTCTAGGAGGAAAAGCAGGATATGAATGTAGCAGTAATGCTTGGCACACTCCCAAACGTGGTCAGGCTCATTCTGTGGCATTTGCAGCCCTGCTGCCCATTCTGCTGAGTGGGATCCTGGGCTTCTGCTTTTGATGGCATTGCTGGTCTGCTCCGATGAGCCCTGGCAAATACATCCAGCCACTTCCCCTGAATTCTTGCATTGCAGCTCTATGAGCCTGCTGCCTCCCTCTGCTTCTGCCAGCTGATGCTTCCATGTAACCTTATTAACCTGACACGAATGACATCTTGCTGGGCCCGGCTTGAATCTGACTGCAGTGATGACCTTGTTGAGCTTTGCCTTGCCTTTCCTGATCAAGAACTTGTGTAATTCCCAAGCCACATGCTGTGAGAGAACTGGTTGCATGCCATGAAAATGTGATGTGGCTCCAGGCTTAGAAGGCTCCCCTGAGCCCCAAAGGCCTGCCAACAGAGGGGCCTGTCTGCTGTGTCTCTGTGACTACCTGCTCCAGCCCTGCCTCCTTCCTGCTATGTAGCTGTTCCTGGAGGACAGGCTCCTTCTGTTGCATCTCTGTAGTGGGCGATTGGCTTGCTCTGAATGTGGAGGTGCAGCAGAATGGGTGCTCCTGCTTGTTTTGCATCCTGTAGTAACCTTGGGGAAGCATCACAGAACAACTAAGAAAACACAACATTGTGAGGATGGCCTCAAATGCACTATTATTGTATCAGTAACGTTGTGCAGAATACACACATGTCTGCACCCCATGTTTAACGCTCTATTGCACCATGTTAACTGTGATGGAATATTCTGGACAGTGGTGTACTGTGAGGTGGTTGCCCCAGGCACAAAATTGTTAGGGGTGCAAAATTTCAGCACCTGATGCTGCCTCAATACAGCTGCATGCTTCTGTTGAAAACAGCTTCTCCAAGTGAACCAGGAAGTCACCTCTCCAGACAATGGAACGACTCTTCTTTTCTTATCTCTGCAGCTGTGATCTCCTGGGTGGCGCAGATGCCATTAGGGAGTTGAATGCACATGTGTACTCCTTCTGTTTCCCTCCCTCCCATCCCACATCCACCTGGCCGCCCGGGCACCGGCAACCCATGCTACACCACTGATCCTGGGAACTGTAGGTTGCTGAGGGTGTTGACCTCACAGAGCTGCAGTTCCCAGCCCCCTAAACAAAGTACAGTACCCAGGATTCTCCATGACTGTAAAAGCAATATCATAGTGCTTTATGTGGGTGTTGTGGGTGTGGCCATATATTCACAAAAAGCAAACGAACGAAACCCACCCGTCCAGAGGGGCCCTAAATAGTAAATGCCTTCTCTGATGTAGTTGCTTATGTAGCCAAAAGGACACCACATGTGCGCACACATGCACGCGCATACACACACACACGAGGGGTGGGGGAATACCAGCATCCTCGGTGGAAGCCCAAGAAGTACCAAAAAGGGGACTCCAAAAACAGCCCAGTGAAAACTGCACGTGCTCAGTGGAGATGGAATGCTAGCTGGCAGATCTGCTAGGAAAGAAATGGGAAAACTGGGGAGGGGTGAAACGGAGTACTCTGCCAAAGGGCATGGAGGGTGGCTGGCTGGAATCCCGGACAAGAGCACACTCCACACCACAATAGTAGTAGTAGTAGTTGACATTAGAGTAAGGTAAAGGTAAAGGGACCCCTGACCATTAGGTCCAGTCGTGGCCGACTCTGGGGTTGCGGCGCTCGTCTCACTTTATTGGCCGAGGGAGCCGGCGTACAGCTTCCGGGTCATGTGGTCAGCATGACTAAGCCGCTTCTGGCAAACCAGAGCAGCGCATGGAAACACCGTTTACCTTCCGGCTGGAGCAGTACCTATTTATCTACTTGCACTTTGACGTGCTTTCGAACTGCTAGGTTGGCAGGAGCAGGGACCAAGCAACGGAAGCTCACCCCATCGCGGGGATTTGAACCACCGACCTTCTGATTGGCAAGTCCTAGGCTCTGTGGTTTAACCCACAGCGCCACCTGCGTCTCTTGACATTAGGGTAGAATGGGATATTAGAGCAGATCTCTCCTGCTGTGTTTTGCCTCCCATTCTCACAATGCATTTCTCTCTCCCGCACCACCCCTTACAATGACTATGGTATAATAACACTTTTTTATTTTTATTTTAAAACAAATTGTCCATTAGTCATTCCCCTGTCAGTTACCACTGTGGGGCTTTCCCCACTTTCCCTTTTTCTGCTGTTCTCTTGCTTATCAATACATTCCTAGAAAATTTAATGCATCTGAGATTCTGCATGGCTTTTAATGCCTTTGTCCACACAGCAGCCTCTCCCCAACCTGGTGCCTTTCCAGCTGTTTTGAACTTTTTGGGAATTGTACCCAAAACATCTGGAAGGGGACAGGCTGGGGGAGGCTGCTGGAGAGGCTCGGCAGCAGATGATGCTCTGAAATCCATGGGCACTCACCGTGATTTCAGATCACTTTGGCTTCATTCCTTTATTACTTCTGTGGCTTGAGAAAAGCAAAGACCCAACAAAAAATGAGCCATCACATTTGTAACCTTTTCAAGAGTCAGAAACAGCAGAGCTAGAAACCCCTTGGTGGGAAGGGAAAGGAAACAAGTTGGATCCTAAGTCCTTTATCATAAACTCCAGGCTTGAGCAAAATGCAAAATGCCCTCTCATGTTGATTGGTCCCCTGAGGCTTACCTAGTGAGTAGCAGCAATAGCACTCCATGGGTGACTCCATGATTGAGAACCCAGTGGGGTCATGCACTGGCTTAAAGTGGGATACAGTGGTACCTTGGTTCCCGAATGGCTTGGTTCCTGAACGGTTTAGTTGTCGAACAAATGTTCCAGTAAGTGTTCCGGTTTGCGAACGTTTTTCGGAAGCCAAACATCCAATGTGGCTTCCACAGATTCCAGTTGAGTGCAGCCAATCGGAGGCTGTGCCTTAGTTTTCAAATGGTTTCAGGAGTCGAATGGACTCCTGGAACAGATTAAGTTTGAGAACCAAAGTACCACTGTATCACTTTTGCAGCACTCTGAAATTCCAGTCCAAAACAGGGATTCGAGATCCGCGAAATCAAAGTTTGTGTATGCACGATGCATTTAAAGAATATCATGCCCCACCCCAAGAATCCTGAGAACTGTAGTTTGTTAAGGGTGCTGGGAATTGTAGCTCTGAGGGGTAAACTCCAGTTCCCAAGATTCTTGGGGGGGGGGGGGACTATGTGCTTTAAATGTATGCTGTGTATACAGCAAAAATGGCACTTGTCCAGTCAGATATTTGTAAGCTCCGAAGTTGGAATTCTTTTCAGTGGTGGAAACTAACCTGGTTCAGATGCCTGTACTTCTGAGTTAATTACCTCTGTTGGTGATTCCTCTTGCATTGGCTTATTAGTGTTTTTCTAGGGATAATAATGTTTTGCGGCGTATTAATTATCTTCTGTGTTCTGAAACTGCTTGAATTCTGCCAGGGGAGGTGGTGGCTCCCATTAACCGGGAGCCTCAAGAGCTAAGTGCCTCCTTTTCATAAACAGTCACTGGAAAATTGGGGTCCTGAACTTGAAAATGTTTTAGGCACATAGCTACATGATCATGTTGGCATGGTGATTTTGAGGTGGAAAAAGTGCCATTAAGCTGATTAACCACGTGTAGAAGTGACAAGGACCAGCAATTTCCACGCACATTCTTGACAACCTGGAAATGCAATAGGATGGCCTTTTTGATAGGTCTATTTTTATACGGGATGCGGGTGGTGCTGTGGGTTAAACCACAGAGCCCAGGACTTGTCGATCAGAAGGTGGGCAGTTTGAATCCCCGCGCTGGGGTGAGCTCCCGTTGCTTGGTCCCTGTTCCTGCCAACCTAGCCGTTTGATAGCATGTCAAAGTGCAAGTAGATAAATAGGTACCACTCCGGCGGGAAGGTAAACGGCGTTTCCGTGTGCTGCTCTGGTTCACCAAAAGCAGTTTAGTCATGCTGGCCACATGACCCGGAAGCTGTACCCCGGCTCCCTTGGCCAATAAAGCGAGATGAGTGCCGCAACCCCAGAGTCGGTCACAACTGGACCTAATGGTCAGGGGTCCCTTTACCTTTACCTTATTTTGTATAGAAAGATTTTACTTAAAACTCTCTATGTGCTGGCACACAACCAAATTCCTTAGCAGTTTCTGTCAGCTGGGGCCTTTTTCCAGAGCAAGACAGTGGCTAACAGTGCAATTATATCTTTCTTTACTTGGAAGTAAGTCCCATTGAGTTGGCAGCCCATGCAGATATTTAAGAACAGGTGCAATATGGCTCCGACTAGCCGCTCCATTTAAAAGCCAAGTCACTGTATCTTGCACTAGTTCATAGGCATCAGCTCCTATGGGCTGAGGTGTGGGTTTGTTTGTTTTTAAAATTCTTATTATTTCCTTTATATCTTCCAGATCCAGACTGGGCATCTCATACTTTAGGAGTGTTCATCTGCTTAAATTGTTCGGGAATCCACCGCAACATCCCACATGTCAGCAAAGTGAAATCTGTCCGTTTAGATGAATGGGACAATGTGCAAGTCGAGGTATGTACAAAGGAAAGGATGTTGTGTCTTTTGGGGGGTGGGGTGGGGACAGACTAGGACTTGTAACAAAATGGACTGAAATGCTTCCTTTTCAGAAATCCAGCAACTTGGTTTCATTCCCCCTCCTACCTGATTCTCCATTGGTTTGCACATTACAGTGGTACCTCGGGTTACAGACGCTTCAGGTTACAGACTCCGCTAATCCAGAAATAGTACCTTGGGTTAAGAACTTTGCTTCAGGATAAGAACAGAAATCGTGCTCCGGCAGTGCAGCAGCAGCAGGAGGCCCCATTAGCTAAAGTGGTGCTTCAGGTTAAGAACAGTTTCAGGTTAAGTACGGACCTCCAGAACGAATTAAGTCCTTAACCCGAGGTACCACTGTATTGCTAAAACAGCACACACAAGAATCTTGGTTTAATCATGCTTACAATCACATCAAAGCTGCTTTATTTAGGAGCAGGGGAGTGATTACTAGCTTATCTACCCACTTTTTTGTTTAGGTTTTCGAGGCCCTATCCCATGCTGCTTTTAAGTAAATATAAAATGTCACGAGATCTGACCATAGATCTCCCACAACCCTAGGCAAGGAAGGATCTGTCCCTTTAGGTACTCTCAGCTTCATTTTCTCTTGGGTTGCCATACACCCAGATTTTCCCGGACATTACTTTTATGTGTGTGTGTTTTTCAAGAAAAAAAAAGCTTAACAACTCTGGGAACTTAAAAAAAAAAAAAATCTCAATTTTTTGGTGTCCGAATTATCACTTCTTGAATTATGGAAGCCCTAGTTTCTCATTTTCCCATTCTTAAATTCAGTTCTCTACACTTTGCAGCACTTTGAAGATTTTCTTCTTCTTAATTTATCATGAGAATTCATCGGCATTTTAATGTGCATTTCTCCTAATAGATACACTTTTTGTATGCAGTTTTGACTGATGTGCACATTTGTGCAAACAGTTTCCCCCAATACAATGCATTTTTGTTTGTTATTTTCATTAACATAGTCTTTTTAATGTAATATGTACATTTTTATAAGCTTTGGGTGGAGATCTGCATCGCAAAATTCAGATGAGTGCGAATTTTGAGCTGTACTGTTTCCAAAAGTGCAGATTCCATAAATTTGGCTTTCATATAACTACATGACAACAGCAGCTGAAAAAACAGTGAGGGTTATGCCATTGCAAGCACAATATTCCAATAGTCTTCTCATCAAAACACTGAAAATCCATATATCGCCCTTGGAGGTAATTCATATAAACTCCAAGAATCAGTGAATAGATTCCACTTTAACAACAACATCTCTGTAACTGTCATTATATTCTCTAAATCTGATTTAATAACTTAATTTATCTGTTACTATATAATCTCTTATTTTGTTGTACCATTCTTTAATTGCTGAAATTAAAGCCCTCCTCTAATTATTTGCATATAAGGTATTGGCAATTTCTAGCATATAGATTCAACTTTATATGCAAACTGAATCAAATGTCTCCATGGTTTGGCTGTGGGTAATCCTGAATTCTCATATACAGTGCTACCTCAGGTTACAGATGCTTCAGGTTACAGATGCTTCAGGTTACAGACTCCACTAACCCAGAAATAATACCTCGGGTTAAAAACTTTGCTTCAGGATGAGAACAGAAATCGTGCAGCGGCAACGCGGTGGCAGCAGGAGGCCCCATTAGCTAAAGTGGTGCCTCAGGTTAAGAACAGTTTCAGGTTAAGAACGGACCTCCAGAACGAATTAAGTTCTTAACCCCTGAGGTACCACTGTAAATTGTGTGTAAAAAGCTGCAAAAGTCATTGTACAAGGAAGCTTGTATGGTGTTTTATATCCCTAATGTCCCCCTGCCTTTTACTTACATACTTAAGTATATGTAAACCACTTTATAAAATAAACTGCATCTGTGTTCATTCAGATCAAGAATTACAACAACCTATCTTGTTGTGAGGAGGGCTTTTTGTTCAAAAGAACACACTTGGCAGTAAAAAAACCTTTGTTGATTCTCTGGAAATAGATCTCAGTTGACCTTCTGCCCATCTTTGACATAGCAGCCCTTAAAAGTGAGCGAGGAATGATTCAAATACACTCTGTTGAACAGGACAAGGGCAATTTTGGTTCCCCCAGATTTTTGTTGGACTACAGCTCCCATCATCCTCAGCCCCACTGGTTAGGGATGGTGGGAGTTGTAGTCCGGTAACATCTGGAGGGCCAAAGCTGCTCCAGCCCTGATAAGGAACAAGGGCAGGGAACCTGCAGCCCTCCATGTTGGGCTGGGGAGGTAGATTCCATCATCACCTGTATGGTCCGAGGCTTCCCATCCCTGCTATAGAATTAAAGAAATTGGATGGCAAATTTTCATCTCTCTCTTAAACCAAACTTTTCTCTTGCAGCTGATGGCTTCTAGCGGAAACAGCATGTCGAAAGCAAAATACGAATCGAAAATCCCACCATTTTATTACAAGCCAACGTTTTCGGACTGCCTGTAAGTAGCCCCCCAAATATAATTTTGCAGCGGTGGGAAAAGCCGTGCGTGCAGCTGCACCATCTGCAATTTGTATTTTGCTTGTTTCTGCTGAATTTTTAATCCCTTGGTGGGGCTTGACTTAATAAAAAGGCCCTGACAATCTCTGGCCTCTGCAGATGCTTTGGGGAGCTCAGCACAGCAGTGCCTCTTCAGCAAATAACTTCTCTTATGCCTGGATGTTTCAGGAGAAAGCAATGGCTTTGTTTTCCTTTCCTTATTTCGGACTGTCTTGGGTTATGAAAATGCCAGCTGTGAGCAAGTTTAAAAAGAAAACAAAGCACTGGTTGTTGTTTTTTTTAAAAAAAATCACCACTTTGAGTTACAGTGGTACCTCGGGTTACATACGCTTCAGGTTACAGACTCCGCTAACCCAGAAATAGTACCTCGGGTTAAGAACTTTGCTTCAGGATGAGAACAGAAATCGTGGCGTGGCAGCAGCAGGAGGCCCCATTAGCTAAAGTGGTGCTTCAGGTTAAGAACAGTGTCAGGTTAAGAGCAGACCTCCAGAACGAATTAAGTACTTAACCCGAGGTACCACTGTATTTATTTAGAAAGATATATCCCACTTCATAAAATAATCTAAAAGACCCAGTTCGTACATAACACCAAGCCACACTTTGCAATGAGCCCCATGGAGATGTCTTGGCAGGGCTGGTCAAAACGGCAGGAGGAATAGAATGGAAGCGCAGAACTGAATGCTGGGAAGGGACCCAGTGGACAGAGAGGAGCTGATTTAGATATTGGGGAGGACTCATTTGCCTTTGACTACTCCTATTATTAAAAATAATGATTTATCTATACCTTGCCCATCTGGCTGGGTTTCCCTAGCCACTCTAGGCAGCTCCCAGTAAAATATTAAAAACACAATAACACATCAAACATTAAAAACTTCCCTAAACAGTGCTGCCTTCAGATGTCTTCTAAAAGTCAGATAGTTGTTTATTTCTTTGACATCTGATGGGAGGGTGTTCCACAGGGCAGGTGCCACTACCGAGAAGGCCCTCTGCCTGGTTCCCAGTAGCTTCGCTTCTTGCAGTGAGGGAACCGCCAGAAGGCCTGAGTGTCCGGGCTGAACAATGGGGGTGGAGACGCTCCTTCAGGTATACTGGGCCGAGGCCGTTTAGGACTTTAAAGGTCAGCACCAGCACTTTGAATTGTGCTAAGAAACATACTGGGAACCAATGTAGGTCTTTCAGGACCGGTGTTATGTGGTCTCGCCAGCCACTCCCGGTCACCAGTCTAGCTGCTGCATTTTGGATTAGTTGCAGTTTCCAGGTCACCTTCGAAGGTAGCCCCATGTAGAGCGCATTGCAGTAGTCCAAGCGGGAGATAACCAGAGCATGCACCACTCTGGCAAGACAGTCTGCGGACAGGTAGGGTCGCAGCCTGCGTACCAGATGGAGCTGGTAGACAGCTGCCCTGGACACAGAATTAACCTGCACCTCCATGGACAGCTGTGAGTCCAAAATGACTCCCAGGCTGTGCACCTGGTCCTTCAGGGGCACAGTTACCCCATTCAGGACCAGGGAGTCCTCTGCCCCCACCCGCCCCCTGTCCCCCCCAAAACAGTACTTCTGTCTTGTCAGGATTCAACCTCAATCTGTTAGCTGCCATCCATCCTCCAACCACCACCTTAGCAATACACCTGTCTAGTTGCCTGGCCTGAGTAAGAATTCATGCAGGAGAGTAAGCAAGGGTTTGCTTCTGAGCTTGCCCATGTCATTCATTCCTGCAGGGCCATAGTTTGCCACCTCTCGGTTTCAATGGGACTTTCTCAAGCCTCTCTGGTTCTCTGTTTTCCCTCTCTTTGCACAACCCTGTCAGTCTCTGAGTGGAAAACGCAGCAAAAATTCCTTTCCCGCTTTTGGATTGAACCCAGCGAGCTATTTGTAGCTTCTTGGAAGCCTCTGGACATAACATTATTTATGTTCCTTTCTTAACCCCCCCCCCATCCCCACTTAGCTTCTCCCGGGATAGAAAAGAGAGGGAGAGGAATGGACTGATACCCAGCTGAAGCTGCTTGCGTCTTGAGCTTTGAGTCAACAGGCACCTCTGTTGAGGTCGAGTGGCTTGTAAGGCCAATTTGGTTAGCAGCATAAATGTGGGGCTTGCTGTCGATCCTGGTGATGTAGTAATTGACACAGGTAGGAAGGCTCTGGCCCCTGGGGTCTCCCTTCCAGCCCCCAGCCTTGCCTCCTCAGCACTTGCCGCTATTTTTAAAAAATGATTTAAGAAAATTTTTAAAAGCTGATAATGGTGCCGAAGGATGGAGAAGGGGAGAGAGGAGCTATTCTGCCTTGGTCAGACCGCATCTGGAATGCTGTGTCCAGTTCTGGGCACCACAATTTAAGAAGGATATTGACAAGCTGGAACATGCATGGAGGAGGGCAACCTTATGAGGAATGGTTGAAGGAGCTGGGTATGTTTGGCCTGGAAAATAGATGGAGAGGAGATATGATAGCCATCTTCAAATAGCCTAAGGCAGGGGTCAGCAAACCCTTTCAGCAGGGGGCCTGTCCACTGTCCCTCAGACCTTGGGGGGGGCGTACTATATTTTTTGGGGGAAATGAACAAATTCCTATGCCCCACAAGCAGTGGCGTAGCGTGGGGGATGCAGGGGGTGCCGGCCGCACTGGGCGCAACATCTGGGGGGGCGCGCTCGCACTCGCAGCTCTCTGACCCTACTAAAATCCACGGGTTAGGGGGCGCAAATTACTTGCCTTGCCCCGGGTGCTGACAACCCACGCTACGCCACTGCCCACAAATAACCCAGAGATGCATTTAAAATAAAAGCACACATTCTACTCATGTAAAAACATGCTGATTCCTGGACTGTCCGCGGGCCGGATTTAGAAGGCGATTGGGCCTGACCCGGTCCCCAGGCCTTAGTTTGCCTACCCATGGCCTAAAGGCTGCCACATGGAAGATGGAGCAAGGCTGTTGCTCTGGAGGGTAGGACTCGAACCAATGGCTTCAAGCTACAAGGAAGGAGAATCCAACTGAACACCAGGAAGAACTTTCTGGCAATAAGAGCTGTTTGATAGTGGAACGGACTCCCTCAGGAGGTGTTGGACTTTCCTTCATTGGAGGTTTTTAAAGCAGAGGTTGGATGGATGCTTTAGTTGAGATTCCTGCATTGCAGGGGGTTGGACTAGATGACCCCCAGGGTTTTTTTTTATCTGCGTTCATACAGCATTATCCAAAAGCATACACATCCTGTACTTCATTAATGAATACTTCTGTTTGACGTGTTCTCAAACCAGTTTAAGACGGACTAGAGCCTTTAAGCTGCTCCTAATTCGTCTCTACTCAAGGCGTGAATGCCTTTGCATAGGGCAGAGACATCCCTGCCCCATTAATGCCTGCTGGTGTATACATAAACAGAAACGAATCTGACACTAATGAAGTCATGTTGATGTGAACAGTGGCAGTTGGGGGGGAGCTGTGAAACACAAGGAGGTGGGGAGGACAGATACCACTGTGCTCCAAGGCGATGATTTGAACACACACACAGTTTCCAGTGGATTGCTCAGGGTTAAATGAAGTAAAAAAATTGCAGACTGCTGCATTCTCAGGGCGTGCGTGAAAGGAAGCGGCCGAGTTAAAATTATATTTGTTGAAATATTTCGCTGTGCTGCAGGAGCCCTCATAAAGGGCTTTTTCAGGAAGCCTGTGGTGAGCCAAAGAGGGAAGCAGAGCAGGGTAGAGGATATACTGCATAAAACTTGGGGTGTTAGCAGCCGGGGAGCTGGAAGGAGCCATGTTTTATGATCAAGACTGACTAGCATAGCTCAGTGGCACAGCCCTTCCTTTGCATAATAATAATAATAATAATAATAATAATAATAATAATTTATTATTTATACCTCGCCCATCTGGCTGGGTTTCCCCAGCCGCTCTGGGCGGCTTCCAACAGAATATTAAAATACAATAACCTATTAAACATTAAAAGCTTCCATAAATAAGGCTGCCTTCAGATGTCTTCTAAATGTCAGGTAGTTTGACACCTGATGGGAGGGCGTTCCACAGAGCAGGTGCCACCACTGAGAAGGCCCTTTGCCTGGTTCCCTGTAACTTGGCTTCTTGCAGTGAGGGAACCGCCAGAAGGGCCTCGGCGCTGGACCTCAATGTCCAATTGGACCGATGGGGGTGGAGACGCTCCTTCAGGTATACTGACCGAGGCCTTCAGGTATACCGTATTCAGAGGCAGAAGAAGATGTTGAACATAGGAAGTTGTCTTAGGCCCCATCTGTACTATCTGAGGAAAGCAGTGCTGTGCCTCTTTAAACAGTCATGGCTTCCTCCAAAGAATCCTGGGAGCTGGAGGGTTTTATTTTATTTTGGGGTGTTGAAAGTTGTTAAGAGACTTCTCTGCTCCCTCACAGAGCTACCAGTTCTCAGAGTGGTTTAATAAACAACCCCTTTTCCTCGGGAACCCGGGGAATTGTAGCTCTGCGAGGCGAAGTTACTCAACCCCGGTTTCCAAAACAACACATGAACTGTCGTTCAGCAGTTCCTTGAAATTTGTGCACCTCCGAATTTTGAGTGTGGTTCTCCGGCCAAGTAATTTGCACCAGAACCAATGTAGTAGGGTAACGTGTGCATAAAAGAAGGGGAAATGTCACACAAAAATCCATCATTTTAAAAGAAAGTGCCTCGCAAAGATGTGTATGTTGGGTAATATTGCGAACAAAAAATATGTTGCCTTAGTAAAAGGGACTCCCTCGGAAAATGGTGGCCTCTCATTCTTCTTTAGCTGCATTGCAGGGGGTTGGACTAGATGGCCCCTGGGATCCCTTCCAACTCTACAGTTCTAGGAGAAATTCTCACTAAAATGCTGATGTCTTTACATGAAGAATTGGGTTGGGGTTTTTTTAAGCAAACTGATGTGGAAATGTAGAGAACTGAACTAATGATTGGAAAAATGAGAAACTCAGAGAAACCGAAACTGGCAGGTTTGCCCATCCTTGTCTTTAACCTGCACTTTCCAAAGAATTTTCCCGTCACCTTCCTTATCACACAAAGTCCGGTCTTTTGGGGAAGTGGGTTTGTTGCGCAGTGCCTGTCAAGCGACTATAATGGCCCAATCTGAATTTGCCAGCATGCGATTCAGTCCTACCCAAAATGAGCGCCAGTCTGGAAACATCTGCAGCCTGAGAAAGACATTGCCTCCTGGGCCAGCGTTTCAAAATCTAAGCAGTGTGCGATGCTTGCAAAGTTTTATTGTTGTAGCTGGGGAGCCGACTTCTATTTATTTCTCTTTTTAAAAATCAATTGTGTATTCAGAGAGGGAATCTGTTATATTCCCCCCCTCAAGATGTTAAGAGAAGAAACAGAAATGGAACCAGGATTCCAGTCTGTGTTTTAACTTATTCCTGTACAGTGCTGCTTTCGACGCAGAATTAATACATTCCTGGCTGATTCCCGACCATATATCTGATCCCCCCCACTTTTTCCTTTATTTCATTTTTCACAGGCTGCTACGGGAACAATGGATCAGAGCCAAATATGAAAGGAAAGAGTTCATTTACATTGAGAAGCAGGAGCCTTACTCTGCAGGTAGTTGGGCGAAGTTTTCTGAGTTCAAATGTTTCTATTTATTGTTCAAAGGTATCATTTAGCTGAATTTGTTTAAAGGCTCGGTTCAGATGCAGTGGGATGCCATGGTGCTGACTACAAAAATTAGTACTGGCAAGCATCTAGCTTATGCAGCCCCCCTCCTCTCTCCCTCCTTTTTCAGTCCCCAAAGAATGAGGCTGGAAGCCATAGTTTCCCATGGTGTCACATTTCCTCAAAACCCAAGTGTCAGGGGTTCTGGGACAGAGGCACAGGGTAGGCAGGAGATGGAGAGCGATGGGGAGGAATCCCAGGACAGCGAGGAAGAGGATGACAATGACTCTAGAGATTCCATGAGTCTTTCCAGCGAATCAGAGGATTCCCAGAAGGGGGTGCCGGTGGTCAAGCCCAGGGGAGCCCCAGGGGGGACGTGTCAGGAGCAGGGGGCCAGCTGGGCATCCCAAAGTGGCAGCTGGGTGTCAGGACCAGCCTCCCCGCCAGAGTGCAGCGAAGGGGTGGAAGTTTCAGTGTGTCAGGGAAGCGGCTCCGGCAGTAGAGAAGGAGGGAGGTCGGAGCAAGCCATCCTCCCGGAAGGAGGGGAGCAGTGAAGGGAGTAGTGTAGCTGTTGAAAGGAAGGTTAGAGGCTGGGCGCGCGCCAGGTTCAAATGTAGAGGCGCGCGGAAGTACAGGGAGCCCGGAGGAGGGGCCAGGTCCCAAAGCCCGCAGGAGGGCCGCAGAGCAGTCTGATTCCGCGTCAGAGGAATCCAGGAGGGGCGAAACCCCAGCGGGCAGAAGGACCCTGCGGAAAAGGAAAGAGAGAGAGAGGTGGAGCAGCGCAAGCTTCTTAAATTGGTGCAGGGGAGGGACGGATTCAGAGGGGACTTCAGCGGTCTAAGCGTAGCAGACGTAGGGCTGCGCGCCTAGGATGTCAAGCAAACAATGAACTGCAATAAACACTTTTGTATATAAGAAGACATAGGCGTTGGTCTTTTGTGAGCTGAGACTTGAGGCAGCCCTGACACCAAGGAAAATGTGGTTTGTTTAAACCAGGGTTTCCCAGACTTGGATCTCCAGCTGTTTTTTGGCTACAACTCCCATCATCCATAGCGGTTAGGGATGGTGGGAATTGTAGTCCAAAAACAGTTGGAGACCCAAGTTTGGGAAACCCTGGCTTAAACTTTGAGGCTGTTTTCCTCAAATCGTGCCCACCTACCAATGTACAACCATGAGCCTTAAATTGCTCTCCCAATCGTGCATTGGCAAGAGAAAGCAGGCTTTGACTGTAAACTGCTGGATCGGACATGATGTTGTCATTGTGACACCAAGTGATTGACAGGTGGGTAGCTCCACCCCTGGCAAATTTGACCCGCAATGCTAGATCTGAATAAGTATCTGGTCCATGGAGCCAAAAAGTTTCCCCCATCCCTGGTTTAAACCACATTTTGATCTGGGCTTGTTTTCATCAACCATCGTTTAAGTTAGGGGTAGCCAATATGGTGCTTTCTGAATGTTGCAGAACTTCAACTTCCATAATCCCTGACTATTGTCCATGCTGTCTAGGGTTGATGGGGGTTGGAGTCCAGCAGCATCTGGAGGGGCCCACATGGACTGTCCTTGGTTTTTAACTAACCACAGTTTGCACAGCTTGGATATCGCAAGGAAGAAGCTTCTCATCTCCTCAAGCGTACCAAAGAGGAGGGAAGGGAAAGGAGCAGCACCGGAACACAGAGCTTACAGCAGCTTGTGTTTTAAGGCAAGGGCCTAGCTCAGGGGTAGAGCATCTGCTTTGCATGCAGAAGGTCGCAGGTTCAATTCCTGGCATCTCCCAGTAGGGCTGGAAGGGTCCCTCTGCCTGAAGCCCAGGAGAGAGGCTGCCCCTCGCTCTCATGGCCTGGCGGAATGGCTGTTGTAGATGACAGTTGAGGGTTGGGCTTGATGTTGCAGGCTTTAAGCTAGAATACGATCCCGGGCCATTGGCCCATCTGGTCCAGCATCCTCTTCTCTCATTGGTCAACCAGATGTCTTGGGGGAGCCTTCAAGCAGGAGGTGAGCTCAGCAGCACTCTCCCCTCTTGCAATTCTCAGCAATTGGTGAGCAGCAGAGGCATACTGCATATGTAAAAAAGAAAAAGAAAAAAGGTAAAGGACCCCTGGATGTTAACCAGTCAAAGGCGACTATGGGGTTGCGGCGCTCATCTCACTTTCAGGCCGAGGGAGCCGGTGTTTGTCCACAGACAGCTTTCCGGGTCACATGACCAGCAGGACTAAACCGCTTCTGGCGCAACGGAACACCGTGATGGAAACCAGAGTGCATGGAAACACCGTTTACCTTCCTGCCACAGCGGTACCTATTTATCTACTCGCACTGGTCTGCTTTCAAACTGCTAGGTTGGCAGAAGCTGGGACAGGGCAATGGGAGCGGGGATTCAAACCACCGACCTTCTGATCGGCAAGCCCAAAAGGCTCAGTGGTTTTAGACCACAGCACCAGCTGCTAATATCCCTTGTCAGCCTTATCCTCTGTGAACTAATCCCATCCCAAGCCATTCAACTTGGTGGCCATCTCTGTCTCTTGTGGGAGAAAATCCCATAGCGTAATGATGTACCGTCTGAAAGAGCACTTCCTTTTTATCTTCCCCAACATTCAACTTCGTCAGTCTGGAAGGAGGCCTGCCATGGAGGAGGCTTCTGAATGCAAACATTTGGCTGCAAATCCAGACAGCGTCTTACGTGCGCCGGGGACAATCTCTTTTTGGTTGTGGCCGCCAATGTGGGAACGTATTGGGTCTGACGTTTGGCTTCCCCTTCTGTGAGTGCTGGGAAGTCCGGGGTTGCCTTTGTCGAGTCAGCTTCCCTTGTCGGAAGGAGCATTTGAGGCTTGTGGGCTTTGGTAGAAGAAGAAGAATTCTGCTTGTAAATGTGTTTTAACAGTGGTTCTCAAAGGGTGTAGTGCACCACGTTGGTGTGGCAGGAGAGGATGGCAAGCGTGGCAGGAAGACTCGAAGACAATATTATATTTGAGGAATGGTTTGTGTTCTTATGTAGCTGCATTGGTTTATACTTTTGGACGTCCCATTATCATATTATAAAGTAGTTGTGTTTTATATTATAAATCAGGCACTGCTAGGAGTTGCTTCACCCCCTCCCCCAATATATTTCATATCAATTAAAATTTTTGTGTGGCGCAACCAAATTTTTATTCAGAAAGTGTGGCCCAGAGAAAAAAAGTTTGAGAAAATAACTTAATCTCAAAAAGCAGCTTGGTGGTTCCCTCACTGCGAGAAGTGAGGTTACAGGGAACCAGGCAGAGGGCCTTCTCGGTAGTGGTGCCCACCCTGTGGAATGCCCTCCCATCAGATGTCAAGGAAATAAACAACTATCTGACTTTTAGAAGACATCTGAAGGCAGACCTGTACAGGGAAGTTTTTAATGTTTGATGTTTTATTGCATTTTTAATAGTCTGTTGGGAGCCGCCTAGAGTGGCTGGGGAAACCCAGCCAGATGGTTGGGGTATAGATAAATTATTATTATTATTATTATTATTATTATTACTACTACTACTACTACTATTACTACATAGTCCTTTGCAGGGGATCCTGGGACAATGTTCAGTTCCCCTCAAACCAGGGGTGAGGAAGCTTCAGGCCTTGAGGCCAGATGTGGCCGTCCAGACCTCTGTCTCTTGGGACTCCGTCCAGGCCATGCCCCCCACTGACCCCAATTTGACCCCTTTGTGAGTGTTCTTGTCTGGCTGGAAATGTGCCCTTGAATCCTGATCTTGCCTCTTGCTTGCCCAGGTGCTGGGTAGAGAGAGCCTACTGTAGAAAGGCAACATTTGCATCCATTGCCCCACCCATCTCTGCCTCTGGCCTTGCCCACCGCTCTTGAAGGTTGCTCAGGTGGGAATATGGCCCTTGATCTGAAGAAGCTCCTGTCTTGCCTTGAAGCAACCATGACAGTGGAGGCTGGTCTATCAGGGCAGGCAAGAGTTTGCCCCAGCAACCCTAGTCTGCTGTAAGGGTTACAAGGGGTTGCTCGAGAGCAAGCAGGCAAATGCCTCCCTGCTTGGCTGTGAAGCCTTGCTTTTGATGCCAAAATAAACTTATCTGTCCGGAGCACCACTCTCCCGTGGCTGGCTCATTCACTGCCAGAATCCGTGAGTGGGTGGGGCTTAAACTTTCCCCAGCAAACTAGTTTCCTGACGCCCAGTCTGCACCTCCCCTCTCGGCGCGAAAGCTTACTGCGCAAGGTGGGCGTGGGTAACGGAGGACCTCTCTCTTCCCCGCTTTGCCCAGGCAAGGTGTCCTGGCACCGCCTCGCCTCCTCTGAGCCCTGAAGCTCTTCTCCACTGGAGGCATGGTTACTCTCCTCCGCTGAGGAGGTGCTGCTTCCCACGATCTTTGGGGGCTCTCTGTAATCCATCTGGCTTTTCCCCTCTCCCCCCTGAGCCGATGGCAGTTCCCTGACATCTGCTTTCAGCCTGCTCCCACTTGCCAGCCTGTGCAGCCTAGGGCTGGCTGTCAGCTTACTCCACCTCAGCCTTGCCCTTGCAGAACTCGGCAAGGAGGAGGATGGGGACAGGAGAAATGGGTTTGTTGCCCAAGACCTTCCTGTCCACTGTAATCGTTCAACCTGAATTTGTGCTGGCAAATGTGATTGAATCCCATCTGAAAATAGTGGCAGCCTGGAAACATCTTAAGAAGTTTTATTTACAATGGAGCTTGACATTTTTGGCATCCTTCTGTCTCAAATGACAATGGAGTGTGCCTCCAGGGGTGAAGCCAAACCGGTGTCAGTAGCACCAAAGTGACCTCCCTGGGACACAAGCCTGGGCAGTGTGCATGGAGATCCTGGGCTGCCCACATGACAGGACACCTCTGTTGGCTGGGCTGATGTGGTCCAAAGGAAAGCAGAGCAATACCTTTGGCATCAGATTGGCTGCAGGAGTTGCCGGAAGGAGGCATACAAGATTGCAGAGGTTTGGGATCAGAGTTTTCCTTCTCCTAGATGGGTTACCATCCCAGGTTGATTGGCCCCATCATTGGCCTTTCACTTCATTCTACAGCACATGCAGGAACCACCTTCTTGACCGTTGGACCCACTATTGGTTTCATTCGCTCAAACCACCAGAGCCTATCTTTGCATGCAAGGGAAACTTGAAATATGTGTGTACAGTGGTACCTCTGGATGCGAACGGGATCCGTTCTGGAGCCCCGTTTGCATCCTGAAGCGAACGCAACCCGTGTCTGCACGTCCGCGGGTCACAATTCGCCACTTCCGCGCATGCGCGTGACGTCATTTTGAGCGTCTGCGCATGCGTGAACGGCGAAACCCGGAAGTAACGTATTCCGTTACTTCCGGGTCACCGCGGAGCGTAACCCGAAAATGCTCAACCCGAAGCTACTTCAACCCAAGGTATGACTGTATGTGTATGCATGTGTGTGTATCTAAAAAGTCTTTTGGGGATAGACTGTCAAATGCTAAAGCAATGCAGTTGCAGCTCAACTGACAGTTGTACCTTAGTAGATTCTTGGGAGAGAAAGGTCTTCGCTCATCTCTGAGGCTCCAAAGCCCAAATGTGCTGGGATGCTTGAAGGAGGATCCTAGAGGGAGAATATGAATAAGCACCAAGGCTGCCCCAGGGGTGAGCAAGAAACAACCTCTATCTGGGGACCACACCGGAAAGAGAAGTTTGGAAGCCTTGCAGAGTTCCTTGGACAGCTGTCAAAAAACCCTCTCTTCCGCTTCGCTGATCTTCACGGCAACCCCAGACTTGTGTTTCTGGAGGATACGCAGAGCAACAGTCACAGCATTCCCAATGGTTGAGAGTTGACTTGGGGCCAGATGACACAGGGTAGTTTGACCCAGACATTTTATAATATTCTAAAAATCCAGCTGGAGAGGCTACAAACTAAAGTGGAAAACAAGCACTGGGTTGGTTGCTCCTTTCGCATTGCTTTTGCTAAAGAATTGGCCTTCACTGCTTTTTTTCTGTTTCCCCTGTCTTCACAGGGGAAAATAATAAAACAGTTGCAATGAAAATGCATGCTGCTGAGGGTTTGTTGCCGAGGCAGGCAGCTGTCGTGGGTGCTCCATATCCTGCCTTTTTTGGGCTAGATGACCTCCAGTGCCATTTATGATTCTATGGGTTTGTATCCAGCCAAGTTAGAAATTGAGTAGGGTTGGAATAAAGCTTTCAATTTTGGTTCCTCTCATTTTCTCATCTTTCCAATCTTAAACTTGGTCCATCCCATTTCCACATCACTGCAATTCTCTCTCTCTGTGTGTAATTTTTTTAAGTTCTCATGAAAATTCACCAGCATTTTAACGTGCATTTCTCTGAATAGTCACATCGTCATGTGCAATTTTGTCTAATACACATATTTTTGCAAAGCAATTCCCCCCAGTATAGTGCACCTTGGTATGTTGTTTTCAGTAACAAATGCATTTATATGCACCATTTAGCCTAGCTTTTTTGTACAGATAACTTGGACCAAGGAACTGCTTTGCAAAATTCAAAGAAGTGCATTTTTAAAAAAATGGATTTCTGTGTTTCAGTTGACTTATTGTTTCGGAAAACACAAATGGGGTAGGTTTGCCTTTAACCACAAACTAAATCAAATTCCTCCCCCATCCCATACTTAGAGTAGACTCCTTGAAGTATATGGGCCTAAGGTAGTCCTGTCCATTATTTCTACTGGGTCTATTCTGAGTTCTGGCTCCACCCCCTTTTTAAGCTACCAGAGCGGACTTGAGTGAAGCTTGCTTACTTTTGGTCCACTCCTGTGGCCCCGCCCCTGGCCCCATCACGGATTGGCTCATTTAAACGGGTTTGGGTGGGAACCCCCAATGCAGCAACGGGAAGGCGGGCTGGCTAGGGCAACCCAGTGTGTCTTCAAGAAGATAGGGAGTGCGGGCGCCAGGCTGCAAATAATCCACCTTGGATTATTCTGAGTTCGCTGAGCATTGGTTTCTTATGAATTTTGTAGGGGCTGCAAAATCCCCCCTCACGCAACTCATTTGGCTCATACTCCTCTGACAATAGTTGGCTTCAGTGACCGGGGGCTTTGTTTGGTTTTTCCTTTTAATAGAATAAGCTCTGCTGCTTCCATTCTTCCAAAAGCCCCCAAATTAATGGATGTATTAGGCTCATTGATTCTGGTGTGAGGAGCCAGTTCCCACTAGCTAAGTAACAGAGTGATTAAATGCTTCAATGCCCTGCTATTGATCCCAAAGTTATGACTTTTTTCATCCAAGTGAGCTGTTTTCGTTTTGAACGTGGTATATTAAAGACAAATAATGTGTTCACGCTGTCCAAACCTTATGAAATGGAGTGTTATTTACACCGTATAAGCCATTTTTAAAGCATTAGGAGTGTTCACTGCCATTGGATGTGTTGGATGCAATGGCAACAAGTAATTTTCCTACCCTTAAAGCCAGTTATTGAGCCCTCCAGACATTATTCTGCACTGTTCTTTCACCAACAGTGCAACTCTGCATTTGTCTACTCAGAAGTAAGTCTCATTGAGTTCAATGGCAATGGCAATTTCCCCCAAGGAATTGTTTATAGGATCCCAACCTGAGAACCTTTGTGGTTATGAAGTGTTGGATCACAGAGATCTGGGTTCAAATCCCCAGTGGGTTGGGAAAGTCCTATACAACACACCATTCTGTGGGATTAGAATTGCAGATATATTCTGAGCTCAATAACCTTTTTAAATGATTGGGTGAACACTGTCCATAAAAGGTGTTCTTTTTAACATGTATTATTTTCCCGTTCTGTCAGTTGCTGGTTTTCTAGAGAGTTCCCATTTCTGCAGTGGTGTTAAACCTTTGTGTTGCTGAACTTCTCTCCAAAACACCATCTTGGTGACCTCAACTTTAAATCTATGCTTGCTCTAGAATGCTGTTACATTTGGGATAGGGAATCTGGTTCCTTGCAGATGCTACTGAACTAAAAACCTCATCTCTCCTAGCCAGTGCCTATCCTAGCTCAGGTTAATGGAAGTTGGAGCCCAACAGAACTTGAAGGGGGTAAATAGAGCAATTGTAAGTGCTGGATGAAATAACTATAGACTTGCAGCCATTAGGCAACGAATATTCTATTGGGTTTATTGCTGTGTTATCCTTCCCATTCTCCAAGGAACTCAATATAAGCATTCATGCTCCACTCATTTTCATCCTCACAAACAACCCTGTGAGGTAGGTTATTGACTGGGCCAGAGTCCCCCAGCGAGACCACATTTGCACTATAAATTTTAAGCTCTATAATACGACTTTAGACAGTCATGGCTAACGCCCCCCCCCCAATAATCCTGGGAACTGTAGTGTGTTAAGGGTGTTGAGAGTTGTTCCTCTCATGGACCCCTGCTACAATTCTCAGAGTGGTTTAACAGTCAAGCCCTCTTCCCAGGGAACTCTGGGAATTGTAGCTGTATGAGGGGAACAGAAGTTCTCCTTGCAACTCTTAGCATCATTGACAAACTACACGTCCCTGGAGTCTTTGGGAGAATCCATAACTGTTGAAAATGGTATTACAGTGTTTCATAGAGTGTAGATGGGGCCTGAGTTTCAGGGTTGAGTTGGGCTGAGGCCTCCTTTCCCTAATCTGGCATTCAAAACCCTATACAGTGGTACCTCGGGTTACATACGCTTCAGGTTTCATACGCTTCAGGTTACATACACTTCAGGTTACACACTCTGCTAACTTAGAAATAGTGCTTCAGGTTAAGAACTTTGCTTCAGGATAAGAACAGAAATCAGGCTTCAGCGGCACAGCAGCAGCTGGAGGCCCCATTAGCTAAAGTGGTGCTTCAGCTTAAGAACAGTTTCAGGTTAAGTACAGACCTCCAGAACGAATTAAGTACTTAACCCGAGGTACCACTGTACCACACCATCTGTTGCCTAACAACACTGTGGCCTTTTGCATTTTTCGTGTAGCATTTAATACAGCAAAACCTGACGTTTGCTTGTGCAAAGTACAGATCTGAATCTCCAAATCCCATTAAGTCCTCTATCAGATGATGGAAGTGCAATCTGCATTAGGAGAAGAATCAGATACGTTACCATTAAAGTTCTCCCAACAGGATAAAATAACACTTTTCTTTCATCACCTTAACTTTTAATCCTCAAAGCACTCTGATTCTCGGAAACAACTTTTCTTCATGCCCAGTGATAACTGCTGTTATGAGAGGTGGGTTTGTGAATTAGCTTAGATGGCTTTAGAAAAGGGAATTAGACTAATCCCTGGTGTAGGAGATTGGTCTATCTATGATACTAATGGCAAACTCATTCCCAAATTGGCTCCGAATGGCGATTGCATTCACATTTAAAGGCAAACCTTACTGAAGATATTAATATTGCACAGTTTGAAGTGACTGGAAGCATAGGAACTGACTCCTTTTGGAAGAAAACCATAAAAACATTATTACATTATTCAAAGTTTTCTTGAAGAACTCTTCAAAACAACAACAACAACAACAACAACAACAAAAGACATAACATGATACACCCAAAACATCCATACAATGTTTTGTGCTGTCCAGCACAGTCTCAGCATTTTAGAAAGAAAAGATAACTCCAGAAATCAAAACGGTATCTCTCTCCCCAATTCCAGCCTGCCTTAGCCTTCCTAAGGCTATGCGGCTATTGGAGAGCCATTAACATCCTTTTTCTCTCTGTGACATTCAGAGAAAGACTAAAGTCACCACCCTTTCAAGATGGCGATTTGCAACTCAATACCTTTTCACCTGACCTAAGGTTACTATGAGGCCAATAGGAGGTGGGGACAGAGAAAGTGTCAGGCAGGAGCCATCCCCTGACTGGTTGCAAGTACATAATAAAAATAATAAAAAATACAGGTCTGTGTAAGCTTTTCTGGACAAAAAGGTTTGAGGTCAGGTGTTGAAAACAGTGCAGTGAAGGTGCCTGCCGCATATCATAAAATATAAATCCCCTTCAGACGCCCTGCAAATCTCGCTGATGTCACTGCTGCAAAGACTCTTTTTTTCTTAGGAAGGTCATGGACTGCAGTCTTTCTTCCTCACACTGAGGTTCCAATAAGTATATAAAAACCAGAAAGTGTGTGCACCGTAAATAGTCTTGCCTTTACTCTGAGGCCATATATTTCTGTTGACATACCACAGTGTCATCGCTCTAGACCATTTTATTTTTGTCTCAAGCAGACGAAGCGGCGAGCAAAGAAAACCACAAGAGCACTATTTGTGTAGGGGAGGCTTCTCCCAGTCTGAGCTATAGAACCTTGAACACTGGGCAGAAGAAGACAATCGAAACCTTAAATTTATTTGGAGTACCTTCCCTATTTGGGGCCGTTTAGCGTATGGGGTGAGGCAAGGCCTGGATGGGGGTGTGTGTGTGTGTGTGTGTGTGGAAAGATGGCAACCATGGAGGAAGGCTGTTGTGCTCATGTTCCAGGCTTCCTGAAGGTATATGAATGGCAACTTTGAGAAGACATTTGATCTGATCCAACAAGGTTCTACTAACATTCTTAACCATAAAACTGGAGGCCATGGAGGGGCATAGGTGCTCCCTATGCATAAAGGGCTTTTGTTTGTTTGTTTAGGTGTTTTGAGGCCAGAAGTGAAAAAGCTTCACCCATTTGCCTAGGGTCACAACCTTGCCCTACATTTGAAGCTCTCATATATGACTTCATCGGTCATAATGGCTTTCCCCCCAAACATCATGGGAACTGTAGTTTGTGAAGGGTGCTGGGAAGTGCTGGCCCGTGAGGTCAGCCCCTTCACAAACTACAGTTCCCAGGATGCTTTTGGGGAAGCCATGACGGTTGAAGTGCTGCAAGAGTGCTTCAGACGCATAGTGTGGATGTTCCCAGGTGGCCCTCTGATGGCAGGGAACTGCGACTTGGGAAAAATCACAGTTTGTTCTTCAGAGAGCTGAGGTGCTTCAAAAGAAGGCTGCTTGTTTCACCAGAGGACAAAATAAATCTGTGCCACAGTCAGTGATGCTTTTGTTGTCCTACTTTCAAATCCTTTTAAAAAATCCAGAGGGGCAGCCGTTTTTAGTCTCCAGCAGCAAAAGCCATCAAAGTGTCTTTGATATATTAGAACATAAACTTTATTTATTATGCCACAAGCCCATAAAAAGCTGGTGCCGTAAGCTTGTTAGTCTTTAAGGTGCCACGAGGCTCTTTGACACTGTTCCAGTTCTGTAGCTCAGGGGTAGAACATTTGCTTTGTGTGTATACTGTAACAAACCACAATTCCCAGGATTCGGGGGTGGGGGAGAGAAGCCTGTGGCTATTTAAAGCGATATGATGCAGCTCTAAATGTACCGTGCAGTGCTGGATTTACGTATAAGCTAAACAAGCTATAGCTTAGGGCCCCATTCTCATGGACCCCCCAAAAAAAATTAAAGGGGAAAAAAACACTGGATGTACATTTCCAAAATATAAGATAAAAAACAAATAAAATAAAACCTACATACAGCAACAGTGTTTTCTATTGTGTAGGCTCCTATGATGTAAATAATGGGCCCCACCTGCTAGCTTGCTCCCTAAAATATCCCTGGTTTGCTCATTTCTATATATAGGGTGCCTACATTCTGCATGGACTGGTTGCACGGCAACATGTGCAGATGGCTTTAGATACCTATTAGGTCCATAAATTACCATATAGCATATACTCAACACAAAAAAACAGCGACAATTTGTTGTTGACAAAGGACAGCTGGACATATAAAGGGCCCCATTACCTTCAGTAGCTTAGGGCCTCATCAAACCTAAATCTGGCCCTGACCGTGCTGGTGGGGCCCAATCTGAGCAGACCCTGATCCAAAGTGCTATAAGGAGGTCAAGATGGGGCTGAAGATTCCAGGCACCCAACACACTTATTGCCTTGCTTTGGGCGCAAAACATGCAATAGAACCCGCTGTCTTTGCTGCAGTTTCAGTCTTCCTTTTTAATCATTTTTATTAGTTTTTGCATATATTTTCCAAACAAAACTTCACATCACATCATCCACATTTTGGTTATTATAGCCTGAGACTTCCGTCAATCCTGTCTAGTGATTTTCAAATTTGTTATCTGATCTTGCATTTTATTGTTATAATTAATGCTTTTAAACTTCGTTTCCTAATGATTTCCTTCCTAAATCATTTTAGAATCATTTATATAGTCCTCCTTACAAAACTTATTGTAAACCTACAAGCGATGTTACATTAATGCTATTGCCTTTCAAATAAATCATATATTTCTTTCAATCCTTAAGGAAGTCCTGGTTTTTCTGGTTCCGAATTCTCCCAGTCAACAGTTCTTCATACACCATCAGTTTTATTTGCCACTCCTCCTTTGTTGGTAATTCTTCCTGTTCCCATCGTTGGGCTAATAGTACTCTCGCTGCTGTAGTTGCGTATCAAAACAAGTTTTTATCCTGTCTATTAATTTCTGTACCTACAATACCAAGTAAAAATGCTCCTGGTTTTTTCACAAATGTATATTTCAACATTTTCTTCATCTCATTATATATCATTTTACTTTCTTACGAGCCCACCATATATGGTAAAAGGTACCTTCTTTTTCTTTACATTTCCAACATTTATTGCTTACTTTATACATTTTGGCTAACTTTACTGGTGTTATGTACCATCTATACATCATTTTCATTACAGTGGTACCTCTGGTTGCAAATGGGATCCATTCCGGAGGCCAGTTCACAACATGAAAAGAGCGCAACCCGCAGCGGCGCGTCTGCGCATGCGCGGGTTGTGATTCGCCGCTTCTGCACATGCCCGTGATGTCATTTTGTGCTTCTGCGCATGCGCGAGCGGCGAAACCCGGAAGTAACCCTTTCCGGTACTTCTGGCTTGCCGCGGGACATAACCTGAAAGAAAGTAACATGAAGCGGACGTAACATGAGGTATGACCGTATGTTTTCTTTCAAAGCATTACACGCTGTAAAGTTTAAACCTTCTTTCCATAGCTTTTCCCAATCTTCTAATTGTATATTGTAACCAAATTCTTTAGCCCAATGTATCATTGCTGACTTAACCTCTTCATCTTTCACATGCCATTCCAATACATGCAGTTTCAGTCTTCCATCCTGCGGACCAACGGAACAGTAATACTATTGTTAACAAAGTGGTGGGCGCAGGACTGGAAATGGTGCAGCTGGGTACATGGCGGCTGGTGGCATTCAGGGCCTCGAGGGTTGTGTTGGGAAACACACAACATCTTTCAAGGCGTCCGGCCCAACAAGAACCTTGGCATTTACGGTTTCCCATTGTGTCCGTATGATCTAGCGCACAGACCCTTGTTTCATTCCTTGGCTGTGCAAAGCTGGGCCAGGCCTCGGCGGTTCTGTCCGCCCATTGTTCTAAAGGACAACAACAACAAACAAGAAGGGAGCTTGTGGGAATATTAAGCAGCTAGCGTAGGATGAGGGAGCATTTTTATTGCCACTGGAGCCCTTGCCCCGAGTTGTGTCTGCTTTCAGAAATGCAAACCTCCGACGTGTTGCGCCCAAAATCCTCCATTCCTGCTAATGCTGAACTCAGCTGCTAACATGCCGACAGGATTGGAACCGTACCAGGGCCAGTGGGAAATGAGAGGAAGGGGTCAACCTTCTCGGATGGATCTTGAGACAGGCAGAAGTTTAGGAAACAGAAACGTCCAATTGGGCATCACTCAGCCAGCCTAATAAGGGCAGAGCATGCACAGATGTCTTTAGGAGCCTCTGAATGTTGAGTTTCAGTTGGGAAAGCAAAATGGAGAAGGGGAGAGGGGATCTCTGTGCTTGATCCTGTAGCAGTTCATAAAATCCTGGCTGGTTGAAGCCATGTACAGGAATAAAGAAAGGGGGGGGAGTCCATCTCCCCCACTTTCAATCAAGTCCAGCTGAACAATTAGCCTCTCCCAGAGGAGAATATTAAGAATATTAAGAATAGCAGAAGCAGTCGAGAAGGAAGAAGAGGAGTTCAGGATTTTTTTTGAAAAAAACCCCAATATTTCCAAAATAAATATATAAGTTGTCTGTCTTTGATTCTTTTACGTGGTATTTTAATGTATTGCGGTACTTCATGTATTGTGATTTGCCCTTATTTTTATTGATCATGGTTTAGTAATTATTTATTGTTAATAGGGAATTTCTGTTTCATTATTACTTGCTGGTGTTTTATGAGCTAATTTTATTGTGTACTATTATATTCTAATAGATTATTGAATATTGTTATTGTTTAGTCACTTAGTCGTGTCCGACTCTTCGTGACCCCATGAAAGAGTCGGACACGAGTAAACGACTAAACAACAACAACAATATTCAATATTCTATTGAATATGACTTTATTTAATATAAGCCGTTCATTTTAAAGTTATGTTTTATTATGATTTTTTGTATTGGATCAGGTTATTATAAGGTGTGTGTTGTTTGTTGTATATTTTGTTGCTGTAAACTGCCCTGTCTATAGAATGGCGGTATACAAATTAAAAGTGAAAATAAATTGAAAAATTCATGCCAATGTGGTGCCCTCTCACTGTACTCCCATTGCCCCCGTCATTGGTCATTCTGGGTGGGGGCTGATGGGAGTTGTAGTCCAAAATGTCTGACAGGCATTGGCTTGCCCTGTGCTAGGGTGCAAGGATGTAGGGCAGCATATTGGTGAATGTCACACATTAGATCTGTAATGTGCATTTAGAGCACAGGACCTCCTTCAAAGAAAACTAGGAACTGTAGTTTCACCCTCACAGAGCTACAATTCCCAGCCCCCTTAAACAAACTGCAGTTCCGGGGATTCTTTGTGTGGGGGCGAGTCATGTGCTTGAAATGCACATTGAACGGTGTAAACCATGGGTAGGCAACCTAAGGCCCGGGGGCCGGATCCGACCCAATTGCCTTCTCAATCTGGTCCATGGACGGTCTGGGAATCAGCGTGTTTCTACATGAGTGTGGTTTTTTTTTTCATTTTTATGGTTGGAAGGGACCCCAAGGGTCATCTAGTGCAACCCCCTGCAATGCATGAATGGGTCCTTTTATTTGAAATGCATCTCTGGGTTATTTGTGGGGCATTCGTTCTGTTTTTTTTTCTTCCAAAATATAGTCCGGCCCCCCACAAGGTCTGAGGGACAGTGGACCGCCCCCCTGCTGAAAAAGTTTCCTGACCCCTGGTGTAAACCCAGCAGTTGCTTGGTGTGTGTTTCTGAATGTCAGCATTCACACATTAGAGCGGTCGCTGTTGTTTCCCGCATTGTACAAAAGGGTACAATTTAAGGTGTGTGTGTGCGCATCTGCACCTGTATTTTCTTTCAAAGGGCACATTTCTATATTGCACCATTCAGAAAAGAGCAAAATCCAAAGGATAACTATATTCCGATCTGCACAACAGGCCAGAAATTTTGCACTCAGTCAGTTTGCATTGGAAATTGCAAATTCCTCCATCATCCCTGCTCACAGAATATCTTTTGTGGACGAGGAGAAACAGTGCTGTTCAGGCTGATATTTTTGTCAGGCTGCCTGCAATGCATTCTTGTTCAGCACTGTACAGGGGTGTGTGTGTGTTTTTTTAATTTATAGGTGTATATGTATGCTGGTCTATGACTGCAATAAAGATTTGGAGGTGTATATCTTTATGACATAATCTTAGCCTCTGCGATGTGTCCCATTTGGATGGGAAAAGCTGGGTAGAAATGGAGGCAATAAATAAAACTTATCTACGCACCAGGGGATGAAATCGCTGATGGAAATAAAATGTATACACGGGCAGCAGTTGTGCATGGACTATATCCTTCAGCGTTTGGTTTAAATATCTTTAGTTCCTTCCTCTATATCATTTTTATTGTTTAATGTTAAGTTTTATGGGGGGACATGGAGCTGAAAAGATCAGCGCAGTCGGGATTGGCACCCAGGGCCGAAATTACCCTTCTGGGCAATGCAGAAGTAAAATCGCATTGCTGGTGAGGGGAGGGTGCCTTTTTCCCAGGCAGCAGGGGAGCTTGCCAGAAAGCGGACTCACAGCTCCTCCATCAATTACATCATCCTGCCTTGCAGGGGGAATGAGTCATCCAGAGAGGCTGCTGAGTTTCTCGTCCCTGGGCACCAGGGAGCTGGCTCTAATGCCCAGCGCACGCTTCCCAGGGGGAGGCCTGGTGCCTGGAGGCGTTTGTTATTTTGCCGTCAAAGAGCAGTGCGCGTGTCAATGCAGAACACACTTCCTCAGATAATAGCTGCAGCCTCCGTCTGCGGCTCAGGTTAGCAGCTCACGTAAATATGGTGCAGTGGAAGGGATCAGAGGAGCCACTGCCATCTTCAACTTGGTGCCCTCCAGATGTTTCCTCCTCCCCCCTTTTTATTATTACAGCTCCCATCCTCTCTGACCATTGGGCATTGTGGCTGGGGCTGATGGGAGTCTGAGTTAGAGGCAGGCGAATCTGCCAGTTTGGGTTTCTCATGTTTTTCTAAAGATAAGTTCAGTTCTCCACATTAGTTTGCAATTTAAAACACACACACACACACACCCCACACACACCACAAGTCCTCATGGAAATCCACCAACATTTTAATGTGAATTTCCCCAAATATACACATTTTTGTGTGCAGTTTTGTTTTGCCTACTATACACATTTTTGCACAGAGCTTTCCTCAAATAGAATGCATTTCGCATGTTAATGTCACTTATTATATGCACTCCTATGCACACTTTACATCTTTATACACATTACCTGGCTGGGGAATTAATTTTGAAGGGAATGCCCATTAGGTGGATTCACCTTTAAATGCAAGCTGGATCTAGGTTCTTCCCCCATCCCTATTGTAATACAAAACATCAAGAAGGGATCAGATTGGGAAAGGCTGAACCAAACCTAATGTAGCACTTTCACCAACATGGGAAAGACTGTAGCTTAGTGGGGGTGCATCTTCCAGCATGCAGAAGGTCTTGGGTGTGATTGTCAGCATCTCCAGGTACGGCTGGGAGAGACCACTGCCCCAAACCCTGCTGCCAGTCAGTGTAGAGTAGACTGTACTAAGGTAGATGAATCACTGGTCTGATTCAGTCTAATTTGGTATAAGCCAGTTTCCTTGTTGTTGTTGTTTAGTCGTTTAGTCGTGTCCGACTCTTCGTGACCCCATGGACCAGAGCACGCCTGGCACTCCTGTCTCCCGCTGCCTCCCGCAGTTTGGTCAAACTCATGCTGGTAGCTTCGAGAACACTATCCAACCATCTTGTCCTCTGTTGTCCCCTTCTCCTTGTGCCCTCCATCTTTCCCAACATCAGGGTCTTTTCCAGGGAGTCTTCTCTTCTCATGAGGTGGCCAAAGTATTGGAGCCTCAGCTTCAGGATCTGTCCTTCCAGTGAGCACTCAGGGCTGATTTCCTTAAGAATGGATAGTTTTGATCTTCTTGCAGTCCATGGGGCTCTCAACAGTCTCCTCCAGCACCATAGCCAGTTTCCTAGGTTCCTATATAATTCAGAACCATGAGGACCCTTACTTCCCTTTTAAGGAGAGTGCCATAAGCTCAGACTAAATAATAATAATAATAATAATAATAATATTTATACCCTGCCCTCCCCAGCCAAGACCGGGCTCAGGGTGGCTAACAACCAATAATAAAAACAAGTTGATTAAAATACAACATTAAAACATTAAAATGGAGCCTCTTCACAGGAGGAGAAAGGAAAAAAGAAAGGGGGGGGGGAGGGAATCAAATTGATTCTAAGCCAAAGGCCAGGAGGAACAACTGTGTGCTGCGTTGAGTCCTAAGTATGCCCAGGTGTCCTGATCCACCGGCTTATGGGAGTGGTTTGGTGCAGGTATCTTCTTCTTCTTCTTTGGCGATCCCTCGTAGCTGAATAAGATTGTCTTCCATAAACACGGTTTTAACAGTGAGTCCATAAGTGACTGTGGAGGCCAGTTCTGGATCCACATGTCCTTCCACAGTGGGGACATTGGTTTCTGGGTGGGAGTTGATCACGGTGTGGATTTGCCAAGCGTGCCTTCCTCTTAGCACGTTTCTTCCTTGCATCCTGAGTTCAAGCTTCTTCGAAGCTCATGACACCTTTGGTAAAAGCTGTTCTCCAAGTGGAGCTCTCGCAGGCCAGTGTTTCCCAGTTGTCAGATTTTATGCTACATTTTTTTAGATTTGCCTTGAGAGAGTCTTTAAACCTCTTTTGTTGACCACCAGCATTACGAGGATGCAGGGACACCAAACAAGGATGCTTTATTAAAGAAAGGTGTAGACTTACAGCAAAGCAGCCTGCCTTTGCAGATGCCAGATGATCACTGTAGCAAGGAAATGGCGTGTCCACACCCACCCAAACAAGCATGCAGACATTATTTATACACAAAGCAGCATACGTCACTTTGTCCAGAACTGCCCATTACTTCACTTGACCAGTTGAGGGCATAGGTGGCAAATAGCCAAAATCTTACAGGTAGCTCCCCTTTTCTGGACTCACAGTCCAGCATCCCAAGGATAACATCACAACAAGCCAATTGCTTTATATCAAAGCAAGTGATTGTAATCACACCTGAGTTCATTGCTGCTACAACAACTGCCAGTTAATTGGGAGGTTATCTTGATTATCAAGATGACATCAGCAAAGCTTTTGTTGTTGTTTTTTTAAATGATATTTATTAAAATTTCAAAAGAAAAAGATTACATTAATAAGAAAAATAACAATAAAGAAAGAAAAATACAAAATACAAGGAAGAAAAAACAGTTAAAAACAATTCCATCTTTTCATCACTTCTCTTACGTTTACTTGTTTCCCAGACTTCCTCATACCTCCCTCTTTTGTATTCCAATTCAATTTGTTAGTTCAGCAATTCCTTTCCCTCCTTTTTAATCCTGATCTTTAATCTTGATATATTATAACATTAAATTTTTACATATTAAAAACCAATTTTTCCATATTCTTTTATATCAGCAAAGCTTTTACATCAGCAAAGCTTTTGGAACAGATCATCTTCGGTTCAACACAGCAGGTAGGAATGTCCTGCCTTTCCATGAGCCAGCTGGACCATCCGTAGCGTCCGGCGCGCAAATTATCTGGTGGTCTCCTTTTGCAGGTGGGAGAGGAACTTAAGGAAGAGGGAGAAAGCATCCCAGGTGTTTGAGCTGGAGGCTGCTGAAGAGATAAAGTCAAGGGAATTAGGTCACCCTCTAAGGGCAGGCAAGGCTGTATATGTTTCAGCGCTGCAGATGACAAAGCAGAGTTTCAGACAGGGCGCTGCAGAAAGGCTTCAGCCAGGGATGCTAATGAGAGCCCTGGAAAAAAAATATAGGGCAGAGATCTGTACGGTATTCGCCTTTCCCTACTCCTCTACCCCGCTGCTCACAGACAGATTTCACCTTGAAATTGTTGGTGCACCAGATAGCATCTATCCCAGCAATTTCGCCTGCAAAGGAAAACTATTTGCATTATTTAACAAGACGCTGGATGAGGGAGCCTGTCAGCACTTAACATCAGAAGAGTCCTTCTGGGTCATGCCAAGGCCCATTTGGTCCAGCATTCTGTTCTCACAGTGGCCAACCAGATGCGCATGGGGTGCCTACAAGCAGAGCATGAGTGCAACATCGCTCTCCCTGCATGTGGTCCTCAGTAACCGGTAGCTCAGTCTAGCCTACCTTGCAAGGCTGTTCTGAGTGCAAAACGGGAAGGGAGAGAACAACATACACCGTATTTTTCGCTCCATAAGACGCACCTGACCATAAGACGCACCTAGTTTTTAGAGGGGGAATGCAACAAAAAAATATTCTTTAAAGGGAGCGCTGAGCAGAGCCTGTATGCATCCCATGCTCTGCTCAGCGCTCCCTTTCACGAGCCGTGTGGAGCGTGTGTGCGGTTCTTGCAGGCTTTTCCCCGAGGAGGGAGAAGGACAGCCCATCACTGACGGGCTGCCCTTCTCACTCCTCGGGGAAAAGCCCCCAAGAGCCACGCTCCCTTTAAAGAGCTGTGTGGAGTATCTGTGCGGCTCTTGGGGGCTTTTCCGGGAGGTGGGGGAAAGGGACTGGGGGCTATCCGAGAAGCCAGAACAGCAAGAGGGAGCGCTGCGCAGCAATCCCTCTTGCTGTTCTGGCTTTTGGGATAGCTGCACAGCCTGCATTCGCTCCATAAGACGCACACACATTTCCCCTTACTTTTTAGGAGGGAAAAATTGTGTCTTATAGAGCGAAAAATACGGTACATGGCGTTGAGACCTGTGAAGGGAAACTGGGAAACTGGAGTATCGTAAGTGTGGATGATTAGTTGATAAATGAACTAGCCACGGGGCAGAGTGGACTTGTACAGTACAGGGTTGCCTGTTTTGGTTTACAGACGTCTAAGCAACATAGGTCCAAGGTACCTTAGGGACCACCCAGTCACTGAGATCATCCCCTGAGCTGGCAAGGCTCATCAGCAGACACCTTCTGCTACAACCTATAAATGCTGGCTGGAAACTTCTCTATGTTGCCAAGCTTATGCAGGCTGTTAAGATAACATCTATCTGCCAAAACCCCTATGTCCCTATTTTCCAGGGACAGTCCCAGATTTTCAGTGGGTTCTTATTTGATCCCGGAATGTCGTGCTTTTCCTTAAGGCATCCCTATTTTCATTGGAGAAATGTTGGAGGGTATGGAGTCATCTGATCCCCCGAGCCATCTGAAGGCAGCCCTGTATAGGGAAGTTTTTCAATGTTTAATGTTCCGTTATTTTGTTATATATGTTTGAAGCCACCAAGAGTGGCTGGGACAACCCAGTCAGATGGCTGGGGCATAAATAGTAAAATAATAATAATAATAATAATAATAATAATAATAATAATAATAGAATAAAAGGTAAAGGGACCCCTGACCATTACGTCCAGTCATGACCCACTCTGGGGTTGTGGCACTCATCTTGCTTTATTGGCCCAGGGAGCCGGCGTACAGCTTCTGGGTCATGTGGCCAGCATGACTAAGCCCCTTCTGGCGAAACCAGAGCAGCGCACGGAAACGCCATTTACCTTCCAGCCAGAGCGGTACCTATTTATCTACTTGCACTTTGATGTGCTTTCAAACTGCTAGGTTGGCAGGAGCAGGGACCGAGCAACGGGAGCTCACCCTGTTGCGAGGATTTGAACTGCCGACCTTCTGATCAGCAAGTCCTAGGCTCTGTGGTTTAACCCACAGCGCCACCCGCGTCCCTAATAATGGAATAGGATGTACCTATTTTCATTGGAGAAATGTTGGAGGGTATGTGTATGTAATGGTCAGCGGATCTCCAATTTTAAATGTTTATGCTGTTTTTATTGCATATGCATATGGTTGTCACAGACCGCTTTGGTTTTGTTTTTAATGAGCAGTGGCACACCAATATTTCCAGAAATAAAAATAAATAAAATCCAGCAGCACTTGAATGGGGGAGATGCCTGCTTCTTCTTGACGAGAGAGGCCGTGAGCATTTTACCAAGCTTTTGTCTGATAGTTTAGCGAGAAAGACACTTTGGTTGCTGGCTGTATTTCACCGTATTGATTTCCAGCGCCTGGGAAGCAAAAGCTATCAATCCTTCCTTTCAAAATGTTCCTTTGGCTGTGATGAAAAGGGAAACAATTCTATAAGGGATGGAAATTTGTTGCAGATCTCTCTCCCCCCCCCCCATCATTTTCTCCTTTAAGCCTTAAAAGGAGAGGTCTTCCACCAGCTATTACTTGTACCAAGGGTCTTTTTTTTAATTGTGCAATTGGACACAAAATGTGCAGTTGGAAAGTTGATAATGTGCAGCTTGAAGAAGGATGGCAAGAGGAATTAGACGTGCTAGGCGTAAGCGTTTATTAAGCCCTTAAATGGCAGGCAGTGCTAGAGACAGCAGGTACAGAAATTAGATGAAGGTAGAATGAGCCCAATTTCTACAGTTAAATTACTCAAACCATGTTAAAACACTGTTTTCTTTGTGGCCAGAACCTCCTCCTCTTCACCTTCACCTCCAGGCAGGTAATGTTTTGTCACAGATTGGAAATCTTCTTAAAAGTGTTCCCCGGGTGGTTTTTTAATTTTTGCAGCAGGGGTGGGGGGGCATTCATAAATGAATCATCACTGTACAGTAGATAAGAACTACCAACTTCTATGGAGAAACTACCCTTGGAAAAGAGTGTGAGCTAGGAGCCCAAAATGCTTTGTGTCCATTCAGCTTCTTGCTTCCTCTAGTGTTCGGTGTGTGGTGGGGAATTTGGTTTTTCGGAACAAAAACAAAAACGCACATGACTCGCACCTGGCTCCATGCCTATGACATCATCTTGAAAGCCTTCCTAGTCTGCTTTCTAAACCTGTCAATATGCTTCCCTCAGCTCCAATTGGATGAGATTTGGGAGCTGAAGTAGCGGGTTGCTTCCTTCTGAGAAGCGGAGCGCCAAAGTTGTTGAAAGCCAAATATGGTGCATGGGTTTTAAAATGATTCGCACATCTTTCCCTCCTTCTTTGGCCCCTTGTCTAGTGGTGTTGTATATGTGATAAAGGGTGAAGGTATCTTCCTTTGCTTGCCCCTCTGCTAGTTTGAGTTTGTTGGTTAGATTTTCTAATAGGGTGGTTTCCCATACATTTTGGTCCCATACTCACTCCTTTTTTTGTTACACAAGAGAAAATCTTTAATATTATTATTATTAGTAGTATTATTATTATTACAGTCATACCTCATGTTATGTTTGCTTCATGTTACGTTTTTACAGGTTGTGTCCCGCGGCAACCCAGAAGTACCGGAAAGGGTTACTTCTGGGTTTCGCTGCTCACTCATGCGCAGATGCGCAAAATGACTTCATGCGCATGCGCAGAAGTGGTGAATTGCAACCCGTGCGGGTTGCGTTCCTTTCATGTTGTGAATGGGCCTCCGGTTTGCAACCAGAGGTACCACTGTATTATTATTATTATTATTATTATTATTATTATTATTATTTTAAGGATCACTCTTCCCATCAAAAGGAGTGGTTTTGATTTGGGACAACACTGCAACAAAGTACACAGCAGCATCTAGCAAATGCATTTTTCACCATTACTTGGAGAACTGCGCCACAAAATTGGGAGGAGGGTGAATGTTTGTTTAAAAAAATGTGAACTGAATTGAATGTCTCCTCTGCCCACTAATCCATATTTATGATGCCTTTCTTTGGGAATCTGAGAAGAAAATGATTCTTTCTTCTTTTAATGAAATGTCTCCTTCTGAATGAACATTCCCCAGCATTTGAGATCTACCACTCAGGCACTCTGCAGAATGACAGTGTTGGAAGGGAACCCCAGGGCTCATCCAGTCCAACCCCCTGGCAATGCAGGAATCACAGCTAATACGTGAAGCTAAAACAGGAAGTGACTCCTCCTTCCACACACGTCAGATACAAAACAGGTCATATTTTATTGTCTTTTGAGGGGCCCAAACTGTTATCGGTGGCCTCCTTCTCACTTTACCGGCCAAGCCTCTGTGATTCGAGTGTGGAATACTGCTTAATTCCATGTTGCATCGCACATGATAGATCACAAGGAGGCTGATGAAGTTCTCCCTCAGGAAGGCTGACAGAAAACAGACAGGTACACAAGCGATGCCTGGAGGATATGGTTGATTAAACCATCAGGCTTGCTCAAGAGCTGACAGTCACGCTTCCTGAGCTTTGACAGTTTTTGAGTCTTTTAACAGTTCACTTCCTCGAATAACAAAACAGAAAGCAGTTTTTCTGCTGGAAGTATTCAGCCGGGTTGCTCAATGAGTCTTTTACTGACGTATGCCATATTTTAAAAAGCCTATTCTGATAAATGTCAGTGTGGTGTGGTGGGTAGAGGGTTGGACTCAGGTTCAAATCCCCACCCATGAAGCTCACTGTGTGACCTTCGGCCAGTCACAGAACCACAGAACCACAGAATTGTGGAGTTGGAAAGGACCACAAGGATCAACCCGTTGCTATGCATGAATCTTTTTGCCCAATGTGGGACTCGAACCCACAACTCTGTTATCCCAGGTGCTCATGCCCTCTCAGCCTTACTTAACCCACAAGGTTGTTGTGAGGGTAAACTTGGGGTGGCTGGGAGAACTATCTGTGCCGCCTTGAGCTCCTTAGAGGAAAAGTGGGATTTAAATGAAGAGTGGGACCATCAAAATGTTGCTAAGAGCCTCATCTGCACGATGCATTTAAAGCAGTACTGCTCCACTTTAAGCAGCCATGGTTTTCCCCCTCCCCAAGAATCCTGGGAACTGTAGTTGTGTGTGCATGTGGGTGTGTGAGAGGAGAAGGTTTGTCACTGGCCTAAGATTTCCCAGGGTGCTTCACGGGTGGAGCTGGATTTGAACCTGGGTCTTCCCAGTCTTAGTCCAGCACCCAAATCCTGGGCGGCCCAACTTTTCCTACCAAGTGGGCCACAAGAGTACATCAACACAGAACCCATGGGCCGCACACTGCCTTGTTGAATGGGTGTGGGAGGGAGCCCAAAATTTCACACACACACACACACACACACACACACACACAACCAGCGCTGATGCTGCTTTCCCAAAACCAGTTAAGTGAGGTGCCAGGCTTTGGGAAGGAGGTGTGAGGCTCTGGCAAAGTCCTAGAGCCCTCCCACCTCCTTCCCAAAGCTGGGGAAGTGCTAATTTTCTGAGCTGAGCTTTGCCATTTTCTGTGAGAAAAACATGGAATGGAGTTGAGAGATGACCTAACCTGGGGAGAAAACAGCAAAGACCTGATGAAGAGAGCACAGCAGAGGTTATATTTTCTGAGAATCCTCCGGAAAAACAATCTCTCAAAGGACCTGTTGATGGCATTTTACCATTGTACTGTGGAGAGTGTATTAACTTATGGTCTGTGTGTGTGGTTTGAGAGATGCACGGTCAGGGGAAAAAACAATGCTGTCCAGGATTATAAAGACTGCGGAGAGAATAATTGGGTGCACTCTTCCCACCTTGGATCAAATCTATGCTTCCAGGTGCCATAAGAAAGCTGTAGAGATAGCGCAGGATAGTGCGCACCCCGGAAATGATCTCTTTCAGCTTCTGCCTTCTGGAAGAAGGTACAGGGTTATAAAGACTAGGACTAGCCACCTGAGAAACAGTTTCTACCCAAATGCGATTTTGGTTTTAAACACAGTGTAAGGAGTCTCTATGGGAGTATATTGTATTTAAAAATGGGGTATCAGAGTTTTTAGGGGGCTAACCAGGTTGGGATAGCTGCGATAACAGGCTTGTTGGTTTTTGAATGTCTTATATCAATTTTTCAATTTTGTTGTTCTGTATAGGACAATGACAATAAAGATTATCGTATCGGAAGCTGCCTTATACAGAGTCAGTGCATTGGTCCACCTAGATCAGTATTGTCAACACTGGCTGGCAGCAGCTCTCCAGGATTACTGGCAGGGGTCTGGAGAAGCCAGGGATTGGATCTGGGACCTTGTGCAAGCAAAGCAGTTGCTCTTCTGTTGAGCTGCAGCTCTTTCCCAAAGCAAGCTATGGATAGTTCCCCCACCACCACCCTGATATTTACAAATGTAATGTGACAAGCTAAACTGTTAACATACTTATGGAAATGACCAGAATACAATTTGCTTAATGGCTTTGTTGCGGCCGTTCCAGTTAAAGCCAGTGGAAGGAGTGAAAGCTTCATCCTGGATCTGCCTGCTGTTGCCTTGGCTACCTCTAAATGAAATTGCACAGATTCCCAAGACTCTAGTCCTTCAGTCTAAACCACTGAGCCTCTTGGGCTTGCCAATCAGAAGGTCAGCGGTTCGAATCCCCACGACTGTGTGAGCTCCCATTGCTCTGTCCCAGCTCTTGCCAACCTAGCAGTTCGAAAGCACGCCAATGCATGTAGATAAATAGACACCACTGTGGCAGAAAGGTAAAAGGCATTTCCATGTACTCTGGTTTCTGTCACAGTGTTCTGTTGCACCAGAAGTGGCTTAGTCATGCTGGCCACATGACCCGGAAAGCTGTCTATGGACAAACACCAGCTCCCTCGGCCTGAAAGTGAGATGAGCGCTGCAACCCCATAGTTGCCTTTGACAGGACTTAACCTATGCATACTATCTTAAGTAGACTGCTGCTTCCTCCTAGGGATGCTCCTCTCAGGCTCTTCTTTTCCTGTTCTTAAGTTTGGGTCTCCACATTTGCCCAGCAGCCAAAAGATCAGAGCAGCAAATCTGCTCCACTTCCCAGTGGGGAGGAGTTGCGGTGGACCACGTGGCCACTTAGTCCCCCATTGCCCGGGGGGATTCTGGCCACGTCAGAGCCTGGCCAGCCAATCCGCTGGCTGGGAGGGCATGGCCGCGACCATTTAAACGGAGGCGCAAGCTGGAGGACTTCCTCTTTGGCTCGCTTCCTCAATCATCCGCCCTCCCTCCCTATTTTGCAGGTTTAGGCACAGGCCTTGCTATGGACCTCGGTTGGTCACCGTTGAGGGGCCTGGTAGGAATTTTTCCACTTGGCAAATTGGCACTGGCCATGTGGTTTTCGCCTACCTTGTAGCAGTCGTCACAACTTTGTTAGAGTTGTGGTTAGGCATTGTTTGACCTTGTGATGGGGGAGGGGAGGTGTGGCCATCACCTGCCCCTCCAAGCTTAAGGGTATTCCATTAAAGGAATCTGGGGGTGTTGATCTTGTCTGAAGCTCGAGTCGGGGGCTAGGGCCACGACACGACCCCGATGGGAACACCAAGGGGAGCTCGAGTTGGTCTGCATCGACAGGGCTCCCCCTTCCAGCGGTTTACCCTTACCAGACTTCCTGCGCAGCGGGCAGGAGTCAGATATAGTCAGGTCCATTCAATGCCTAAACCTAATACTGCTCACATTCTGTAATAAATAAAGTTGTGGCCAAATTTGCCCAATAACATTAACCTAATATCCGTGTCCTTGTGTGTGTTATTTCTAAACGAGAGGGTGGCTTCGGGGTCTTGATGCGAAAATGAGGATCTGACATCTAGCCGGAGGGAGACTCTGTGGCAACCACCTCAGTGCCAAAAAAGGTTAATAATAATAATAATAATTCGTTTATATGTCGCCCGTCTGACTGAGTTGCCCCAGCCACTCTGGGCAGCTTCCAACAAATTAAAACATCAAACTATTCCCCTTCCCTCTGTTTTTCCTTTCAAAAAGTTGCCATGGGAAGAATATATTTCTCCGTTCTTCTTTTCCTCCATAGGGTACCGGGAAGGATTTCTCTGGAAGAGGGGCCGTGACAACGGGCAGTTCTTGAGCAGGAAATTCGTGCTTTCAGAACGGGAAGGTGCCCTGAAGTATTACAACAAAAATGACGTAAGAGAATGGGGGCTGGTTCCAAGGGGCTGGTCCTTTTTTCAGTTTTGAATAGCTAGCAGGTCACGTAATGGGGCCACGAGGCTCCTGTTGCTTCTTCTTTTTTTGAAATCATTTTTATTGGTTTTACAAATACAAAGTATAAATAAACACAAACTAGTAAAAACATATCTGTATAAGGAGATTCCCCGGATCTCGAGACTTCCCCTCATCCCCTCCATGGGGGTCTCAAATTAAACATCTACAACTGCATATTCATATGTACTCCAGTTTTTATATCAAACCATATTATCCATAATAATTTTTACACTACAAGTGGGTCAAAATCCTGCTCTTGTTTCCATCTGCTTACAATGGTCTCCTGCTATTATTTTTAATGAAAAAATTATTGGATTATACATTTTTGTCATATTACAACACATCAGATCATCAAACTCAACAAGATACATTTCCCCAGTCCCCTCCCCACAACTTCCCTCAACTTCCTCTTCTGGTCCTCCCCCCATAATAACTCCCCCTGCTTTCAGATATCTTCATATGGTATCTCTATATTAATTGCTTACATTGGTCTCCTAATTAACTTATAATCCCCCCCCCTTTTATAACTTCTTGGTTTCTGAGTTTTCCAGTCAGCTTTGCCATCTTGCCATAGTCCATCAGCTTGGTTTGCCACTCCTCTCTGGTAGGGACGAGACTAGTGATGCTTATTCACCAACACCTTGCTACCTCATTTTTATCACTTACGTAGCACCATCGGGGGGCTGTGCCATTGTGTGGAGCACACCAAGGAAGGTCTCAGCCCCAAGGAACTTCAAATCTAAAATCTGACACGGGGAAGCAGCAGTGAAAGGCAGGGGGGAGGAACCTTCCTTGGACCGAGGGCCAGACCCCCACCTGGTCCATCTTCTGGGGTCCATGTGCTGGTGATGGGAGGGGCGAGAGGCAAAAGTGTGCAGGGGAGGGGAACTTGTCACTGCAGGAAGAGGAGACACCCATGCCTCTTCACCAGCCTGACTCATCTCTGCCTCTTGGCCCCGCTCCTCTCCTGCTTCTGCCTCTGATTCTGGACTGCTCTCTGCCACAGACTCTCCCAGCTCACTAAGCCCTGTCATGCCTTCTGACACCTCCTCCCCCCCCCCAGCCTGCTCCCTCTGAGCAATCATCATTGTCCCACCACCACTGCCCGGGCTCTGAGTCTTCTTCCCTGGGGGTTCCCCAGCTGGTTGCTCCCACCACTCCTCTATGCCCAACCAGTCTGTGACGCTTGTGGACTTCCTGGAAAAGCAGGGACAGATCCACAGCATGCACTGAAACACATCCAGCACACATTTGAAACACACCACTCCCTTCCAGGAATCCTGGAAACTGTAGCTTGCTGAGAGTTGTATCTCTGTGAAGGTGAAACTACAGTTCCCATGATGCTGGACTAGGTATGCCTTTGGTCTAATCCAGCAGGGTCTCCTACCTGGGCTTGGTCATGGGTGTAGTTGCACAGGCTGGGTGAGTCAAGTCTTGTTTCTGGCCCTTCTGACTTCCACATGGGTTCACCCACAAGTTTGCTCAGAATCTGGAGTCATCATCACTACCACGAATCAGAACGCAACTTCTCCAAAAAGCCCGTCCTTAAGAAAGCCACATGTTGGCCATGCCCTGAAAAATGGAGGTGTGGTTGCACCAGGGTTCCATAGAAGTTACGTTGCAAGCCGTCCTCTTTTCCCAGGAAGCCAGTTTTAGATACGACCACCTTTACCGCCCCTTTCTCCAGGGCATTTCCAAGCTGCACTATTGCACCCACCTACTCAGGAGTAAGCCCCATTGAAATCAGTGCTGTTTGCTTTCAAGTAGACATGATTTGGATTACTCTGTCAAAGGGGATTTCCCAGTGAGTGGGCTAAGATGTTGCTGCTCTTTCTTTCACATGGCTGAAGCCGTCTTGACCCTTGGGGAAGTGAAAGTCCACAGCATTCCATCATGAACCACTGCTATCTAATTGGGTGTGGAAGATGGGTGGATTCCCCCTCTTCCCGGCTATTTCAAAAGACTGGTCATGGTGTTGATCTCATCCACCATAATAAAGGGAACTGTTCCGTGTAGATAGATAAATAAAACTTTTTTCGCATTAGCCAATGGCCATAGCAACAGTAAAACATTACAGTATGCGCAGAAAAGGAAATTTGATATAAAAGCACAATTTAAAGTTCCATGTTGGTGAATCCATATGTCATTTAACTGATTGTTGGCCTAGCCTACTTATTTCCATTTTTTAATTGACTTAGGCATTTGAGCTGCTGCCCCAGGCTGCACTTGTGCCATACATCTAACACATACGTCACTTCCCCCAAAGAATCCTGGGAACTGTAGTTAGTTAAAGGTGCTGGGAACTGTAATTCTGAGGGGTAAACTACAGTTCCCAGGATTCTTTAGGAGGAAGTCATATATTATAAATGTATGCCGTGTGCGCAACCACAGACCAAATATCTGGGAATCTCCCAGGGAAAAGGACCATAGATCACTGATAAGTATTGTATGCGTTTTGCATGTAGAAGATTCAACTCGTGGCATCTCTAGTGAAGCAGAACAGAGTTTCAGGTTATATTGAGTGTTTTTCAATAGAATAATAGAATGCATTGCAGGGGGTTGGACTAGATGACCCTCAGAGTCACCTCTAACCCTACAATTCTTTACCACTGTACATTATCAAGCTAATTTTTTTTGGGGGGGGGGGACAGAGCACTTTTTTGCACATTTCTCCGGGGTGTATGTGTGTGGTCAGGCCCCCTTTGCCCTTCCTGGAGCTACTGGATCAAGGCTGCACTCTCAGTAAAAGTGCTCTTTTGTTTTGAACGCCTGTGTTTTGCAGAGCATGCTTGCTGCTTTCGCCTTGGCTTCTTACTGCTCTCGGTTTCCTTTCTCCCCCCCTCTCCCAGGCAAAAGAACCCAAAGCAATCATGAAGATTGAGCACCTGAACGCCACTTTCCAGCCTGCCAAAATCGGGAACCCGCACGGGCTGCAAATCACGTACTTGAAAGACAACAGCACAAGGAACATCTTTGTTTACCATGAAGATGGCAAGGTGGGAGCTCTGAAGTAAGAAAGGAGGCTGCTGTAAGAGCCGCCTTGCATGTGTCATAAGGAAAGGGCAGTAGAGAGCACCCATGGGTGGGGCTTGCACATTCCCCATGTTTTTTGGCATCTGTGGCATCTCTCCCAGCTTTGTACCATCTGGGCAGAGAAGAAATAATTATATTGTGATGGCGATGATGATTTCTTACCTGCTTTTCAATGACCAGGGTAAAGAGGTGCATCTTCAGCACATGATGACAATCTAGTCCCAGATGTACCTCTTTCGGACAAGAGTCCTGCATTTTAGGGGCTGTTGCAGAGGAGGCCCTCCCTCTGGCTGCCATTCCCTTAATTTCTGAGGGTGTGGGACCTACCAAGAGGGCCATCCATTCTGTAGATCTTAAGACTTAGATATTGAATGGAGATCTGCTGGAGCTGTCCAGCACCTGACAGTGGAGATTAGGCAACAGACTGTAGGTTTCAACAAAGTGGATGTAGAGGGCAGAAAAAGGTTTGAAATCTTCAGGACCTTGGAGAGCTCCTAGGCAAGTTAGATGTTGCCTTGACAGGAGTCGCATGCATGGCATGATGTTTGGAGGAACAAAGAAGCTGCTTTAATACCAGCTCAGACTGTTTGCTCATTTCCAATAAAGCAGATGCTCTTCTGTTGAGTCCTGGACCTTCCTTGCCATCATGTTGGGTGCATCAAATATTGCTCAATGTGTTTTTGTGTCGCACCTGTTCCTGTTGCAAGTGCAAAATACCAGATGCATTGTGAGACCAAAATATACATAGGAGGCTTAGTTTGGTCAGAATCGAGTAAACACTTCCAGAGTTAATGCTAAATACATTACTTCTGGCAAATGAGCCACCATAGCCGGTAGAGGGCCGTGAAGATTTGTTTCCAGGGCTTTCTGCTACCCATGTACTATCTGAAACCCAAGGGGTGCATTGGTTGCCAGCTGTTAAATATATTGGCATTATTTTTAGCTCTCCTACCCCACTAATAACCCTGGACAGCTGCTGCCAGCCAGTGTAGACCGTACTGAACTAGATGGACCAATGGTCTGAGTTGGTATAAGGCAACCTCCTATGTCCCTTGTGGGGCTGATGGGAGTTGGAGTTCAACAACATCTGGAAAGGGCCACAAGTCCCCCACCGCTGCCGTACAGTATCATTTAGTACTGCAGTATAATGGCTCTGGAGGAGGAGAAGGAGGAGAAGGAGGAGAAGGATTCTGTTCTGGGTTACCTGGAGTCAGGAGATGTCACCTGATCAGAAAAGGTTTGAGATCCACCTTGCCAGTCCTCAGTTCCTTTCATTTTCTTCTTGCGGTTTTCAGATGCAGATAGGTCGATAGATATTTGCACCAGCCATTGCAATGTGCATATATGCAACTAAGCAGATCAGATTCCCATACTAAATTAGTGATACGGCTTAAAGCTCAGAGAGCATCACTGCGGCCCCTACTTTAGTGCCTGTCGCTAGGAATATGTTTGCTAGGAATAGTTAGTCCATGCTGTCACCAGCTTATCTTGATCTGCAAGGAGAAAAGTCGCATTGTCATCATCAGCTGAGTTCCCTGGGTGAGGTAATATTAATAAAGGTGATTAACTCCTTATGCAATCTCTTTGCAAAGAGCTCCATAGCAGTGCCCAAAGCAATGTTCCAGCACCACCATCCCTGTGTGTGGACAGATGCTGTTTGTTTTGAGACAGTTGCCCTTTCATTGACTTGCAGAAAATATGCATATGCTGCTTTTATCAGGGTGGATGCAGATTTTTTCCACTATAATTTGAAGAGAGGTATCATAGTGAGGAAAGCTGTGACTGGTCCATCTGCTGCACAGCTGCTAACTATTGATGGGCAATGTCAAGAGCCCCTCTTGCTCTCCCTTCTTAAGGTCATAGGATCAGTGAATCGCAGAATTCGTTTTGAATCCTAGACTCCTAGACCTGTAGAGTTGGAAAGGGACCTTGAGGATTATCCAACCTAACCCCCACAATGCAGGAATATGCAGCTGTCCCATACAGGGATTGAACCTGCAAACTTGGCGTTGTCAGCACTGTGCTCTAACCAACTGAGCTATCCTTTTATTCAGGGCCGTCTTACACATAGGCACTAGGGGTGCAGGGCACCCAGGCGCTGGGCTCTCAGGGGCGCCAGGCCAAGAGTCCAGGGCCTGAGAGTTGAGTCCAGGGAAGAGCCCGCCCATCGGTCGGAGTGCAGCAGCAGGCTCTTCTGCTGTGCGCCGCGGGTTCGGGGGCAACTGAACCAGCAAGACGCTGAGGTGGCTGGCCGGCTTTGCCCTCCTGCACGCCTGGGACTGGGCAACCAGGGGTGGGGCTGCGCCGGGCGGATCTTTGCACCCCGGCGCCACATATGCTTAAGACAGCCCTGCTTTTATTTACACTGAACTTGAACCAGACAGCGCTTCAAGGATGCCTTCAAACAGAGGGCTACCCTGTGTAATGCTGTTTGGTTTTCTGGATTTGACACTTCCCAGTGACTTGCAAAGTGTGCCTTCTATGATCTGATGAGCTTCTTCTTTTTCTTCTTCTTCTTCTTCTTCTTCTTCTTCTTCTTCTTCGAGATAAACCTGTGCTCCAGTACGGTAGAAGAAGCAAGCAAGGCAGCGTTAGGTTTCCCCATTTTTGTACCCCATTTTTTGACAGGGCTGGCAAGCCTTGATCGGCTCTGATCCCCGCGAAAGCATACAAGAGTGAACTTGATTTACTAGACAGCACTGCTGACCTGCCTCTGCCTGCCCTTTCTCTGTCATCAGGGCACCTCTTTGTAGCAGAAGCACCCTCTGCAGGCTGTCTCCCAGCCTTGCAGCAAATCTCAGCAGCAAGTTCTGGCCAGCAGGAGATTTCTTTAAATGTGCTGCATTGATAATATACTGTAAAAGGTTGTTGCTGCCATTACGCTTCTGGGCTTGCCTTCGAAATGAAATCCTCAAAGGTGGTGATCAAAAAGCTGTAGGTTTGCTAATACAGTCAAACCTTGATTCCTGAACGGCTTAGTTGCCGAACAAATTGGCTCCCAAACGCTCCAAACCTGGAAGTAAGTGTTCCGGTCTGCAAATGTTTTTTGGAAGCTGAACATCCGACGTGGCTTTCGCTTGAGTGCAGGAAGCTTCTGCAGCCAATTGGAAGCCACGCCTTGGTTTTCGAATGTTTTCAGGAATCGAATGCACTCCCGGAATGGTACTACTGTAATATATAACAGATTTCTAATAATTATCGTTTTATGTTATACGCATTCTCGGGGCCCCTGCAGACATCCTTTTGCATTGCCCATTCATGAGGATTTGTGCTCCTGAGGGAATTGGAGCAATGATACATGTTCCCGTTTTCAGTACTGTTTATGACTATAAAGATTTTGGGGCAGACGTACTGTTTTGTTTCCATTCGGTGCCTGTCCTGTAGCTCTCTGCTGAAATCCTGTAACTTTTCACATTGCAAATAATCCAGGGGTGTTGTTTTCGTTGCACTCTAGTGCAAGAGTGACTCTCCAGAGCCCTATCTGGACTATAGTTCTTTGCAGTGGACTCTAGGAATTGTAGCTCTGTTAGGAAAATAGAGGGCCTCCTCTCGGCACACTTAACTAGCTACAGTTCCCAGGATTATTTGGGAGAAGCCATGGCTGTTTAAAGTGAAACAACTCTGCTTTAAATGGAAAGCACCCAGACTTTCCTTGACCGGGAGTACGGTGACAAGTTCGAATGTGGGCAAAGGAGGGTGACTGAGATGGTCAAGGGTCTGGAAACTGAGTCTTTTGAGGAATGGTTGAGGGAGCTGGGGAAGAGATGACTAAGAGAGGATATGACAGCCATCTTCAAATATCTGTTCTGTGGAAGATGGCGCAAGCTTGTTTTCTCTTGCTCTGGAGGATAAGATTCAAAGCAGTGGATTCAAGTTACAAGAAAGGAGATTTCTCCTAAACATTAGAAAGAACTTTCTGACGATAAGAGCTGCTTGACAGTGGAACGAATGACCTCAGGAAGTGGTGTGTTCTCCTTTTTTGGAGGTTTTTAAACAGAGGTTAGACAGCCATCTGTTGGGGGTTCCTTAGCTGTGATTCTTGCATTGTTGGGGGTTAGGCTAGGTGATCCTCGAGTCCCCTTTGAACTCCACAATTCTATGATGGGATTGGATTCTGTTATTACTAGAGTTCTGTTTTTAATCTCTGTTTTTATTACACACACACACCGTTTGTATTTTTATGTGTTGCTTAGAGATCTTAAAGGTTTAGAAATTATTTTAAAACATATGTATTAGTAATAGATAAAATACACGAGGCAGCTTACAAAAATATCAGTGAAATGCAAAACGATTAACCTCTCCCCCCCGCCCCCCGCAAGAAGTCTAATGCAAGAAATTTTGCCTGAAAGCCATCTAGCTTAGGCAGGTCCCCATGATGCCAGACATTTGCAGCATACAGGAGTTCGGATACCGATTTTGCGTTGAAAACCCTTAAGGCTGCTGGAACATATTTGCTGCCCTTTGTGAAAAAGAATCTGAGTATGGCTAGCTTTGTGATCTCCACCTTTTGAAGGGAGGTTTGCCAGTGGTGCTTCCAAGATCCTGTATGATGGAATGTGAGCCCTAGATAACTGAAGTATTTAATCTGTTCAAGGTTATGGCCATCCAGCACCCATTTAGACCGGGAGAAGCTTCTTTCGAATACTAAAATTTTAGATTTTTCATAATTAATGGATAAACCATTTCCAGAACAGTAATCAGAAAACTTCCTCAGCAGATATTTCAAACCCGGTCTGGAACGTGAGATGATGGCCTCGTCATTCGCATATAACAACAAGGGGGTCCTTCTCAATGCAAGCAATGAGTCGCCACGGAATAGATGATTCCTAAGCTTATTAAGGACTGAGCCCCAGCAAACACAGTGGGACTTTGAAGGAAGCGCACGTAAGAATCGTGGCGAAGACCAGAATGCTACAAAAGCCTGCAGAAGTAATCACTGGCAAATTTAAATTGCATTTAAATTCAGATCAAATCAGAGTTGACCTGAGGCTGGTGCAGCATCTATGGACGTGCCCGTTGCTATCACTTCTGCCTCTTTCCCCTCAAATGTTGTTTTCTTCCTCCTCCCAGGAAATGGTGGACTGGTTCAACGCCATTCGCGCCGCTCGATTCCATTACTTACAAGTGGCATTCCCTGGAGCGAGCGACCTTGATGTGAGTTCCTCTATCTCTCTCGCCTTTTCTCTTTCTTTCTTCATTGCTTGATGTGTTGCTGTCAGTGCCTGGGGAGAGTCCCCTAAATCTCTTCTGGGGTTTTTCTCCCAATCCCTGTAGAGCTGATTTGCATAACCGGAAGTCCTTGTGGCTGAGAGATCTATTTTGTTGAATATTTCCCTATATTGCAGAAACAACAGAAGGAAATGGTCTCGCTGGCAGGATTTAAATAAACATTTGCAATTTTATTTACAGAGAACAAGAAGTACAACAATGTGATAACATAATATTGTAATAATAATAATAATAAATTTTTATTTATACCCCAGCCAAGACTGGGCTCGGGGCGACTAACATTGAACAGAAATACAGAAGAGAAATACCGAAAAGAAATACAGTAAAAACATTAAAAACAAAACAAAACAAACAAAACAAAACAAACAGTTGATTAAAATATAAGTTAGAATACAGTTTAAAATGCAACTTAAAATGCAGCCTCGTTTTAGTGATAGCCTATAGATCAAAGCCATAAGGGGAGAAAACGTGAAATATTCACTGGGGCCAACTATCCATGTTGGTCCTACATGGGCCAGCAAAAAGAGCCGAGGGAAAATTTATATACAAAATCCCATATAAGGGGTGCCATCAAAAAAATAAATGGGGGGGGATGTATCATCTGATGTAATAAACCAGAAATGGTAGTTGAGGGAAGTCAACGGGGGGGGGGGGGCGGTTTGGGTTGGAAAATGTATGTTTAGCAATGATATTGGATACTTGTTTTGACAAAAGAAAATTAATATATATATTTTTTAAAAAGAATAATATTTCCCTATAGGCTGCCTGGTATCCTGCCTGAAAAACCAAACAGCCCCTGCCAATCAGTGTAGACAATACTGAACTAGATGCTCTGATTCCCCCTGTTCCTAGGTGTTTCTAGTTGAGTGGTCAGGGAGGGGCCATTACATTTCAGGGCAACCAAAATGGTCAAAGGCCTGGAAACGATGCCTTATGAGGAACGGCTAAGGGAGCTGGGCATGTTTAGCCTGGAGAAGAGGAGGTTAAGGGGTGATATGATAGCCATGTTCAAATATATAAAAGGATGTCACATAGAGGAGGGAGAAAGGTTGTTTTCTGCTGCTCCAGAGAAGCGGACACGGAGCAATGGATCCAAACTACAAGAAAGAAGATTCCACCTAAACATTAGGAAGAACTTCCTGACAGTAAGAGCTGTTCAACAGTGGAATTTGCTGCCAAGGAGTGTGGTGGAGTCTCCTTCTTTGGAGGTCTTTAAGCAGAGGCTTGACAACTATATGTCAGGAGTGCTCTGATGGTGTTTCCTGCTTGGCAGGGGGTTGGACTTGATGGCCCTTGTGGTCTCTTCCAACTCTATGATTCTATGATTCTATGATTTCCGAGCATAATTCAAAGTGTTGGTGCTGACCTTTAAAGCCCTAAATGGCCTCGGCCCAGTATACCTGAAGGAGCATCTCCACCGCCATCGTTCAGCCTGAACACAGAGGTCCAGTTCCAAGGACCTTTTGGCGGTTCCCTCGCTGCGAGAAGTGAGGTTACAGGGAACCAGGCAGAGGGCCTTCTCAGTAGTGGCGACCATCCTGTGGAATGCCCTCCCATCAGATGTCAAGGAGATGAGTAATTATATAACATTTAGGAAACATCTGAAGGCAGCCCTGTATAGGGAAGCTTTTTAAGGTTTAATGTTTTGCCGTGTTTTTATATATGCTGGAAGCAGCCCAGAATGTCTCAGGCAACCCATCCAGATAGATTGGGTACACAAAAATTATTATTATTATTATTATTATTATTATTATTATTATTATTATCAGGACTGAATCTCCCAGTCTTTGGAGACGGCAGCCAGAGATGGCTTTTAATCATGCAACTGCACTGCTTAAGTAGTGGGAGAAAAAATGGCATTGTCTTCTCTCATGCCCTTGGCCAAAAGAAATGGTTGATCAGCATATCGGCTTGGCTGAATGTACTCCTTTGGATTATAAAATCATCGCAGTACATTTTGTGCTGATGGGGGTCCTTTGGAGCAACTTGTTCTTCCTCCCACTCTGAGGCTCTGTTTGTAGCAGAAATCAGGCCCTTTCGTGGATCCCCATAAGTATTTCTCACCTGCAGGGTTGCAGCCTATATCTTGAGGGGATCAAACCCTCGACTAGGGCAGAGCAACGGATGGGAAGACCATGTGGGAATTGTGTGCCAGCTGTCGAACTGTGTCGTGTCTGCGAATCCTCATCTGACTTCTGTTTTTCCCCAGAAGCTCTGGCTAAAATGGTCAACCAAATCTATACTGAGTCCATTAACACCCAAGTTTTTCCTCATGCATTATTTTTTTTTACCCACTATCTACTACCTGCAATATCATTGTCCCTTATTTCTCACAAACTCTAGCTGGTGCCAAAGCTTTCTAGGAACTACTTGAAGGAAGGATACATGGAAAAGACTGGGCCAAAGGTAGGAGGCATGTTATGTTTTCTGTCTATGCTAAAAGGGAGAATATTCTTATTTGTGCTGTTTAGAAACTTTGGGGTGGGTTGAAGTGTTTTGTCAATGTTCTGCCTCACATTACCTGCCAACCATGATGCTTCTGACTTCCTATTTTATATTTATTTATTATTGCAATCACATCCCACTTGACCTCTGAGAAGCTCAAGGGAGCCTGCATAGCTCTCCTTCTCTCCATTTTATCCTCACAACAAACCTGTGAGGGACATTAGTCTGAGGGACAGTGACTGTTCCAGGGTCACCCAGGGAGCTTTCTGGCTAAGGAGTTGAGACTTGGTTTCCCAGGTCCTAGTCGGACACTCGCAAGACCACACTGCGTATCTTGTGCATCAGTGCTCTGTGCTCAAGCCCTATATATAGCCATGTTTTCCACATTGCACCGTCTACTACGCGCTATGTTGTAAACTGGAAATAGACGGCTTAAAAATCCGCATCGTGTTTGCATTTTATGGCTGGAAGCCACGGCATCACATCAGATCTAAAATGAAGCGGCCATCACATCCAAAGATAAATAAATCTTTGGGGTATTTCTCCATGAGCTAGAAAGCTGACATATACTAGTATACTTTGTAGTACAAGCAAATTCCGGAGGCCATGATGTGAAACCCCAAAATGGCTACGATATTTTTACACTAGCTAGACAGCTGAAACCTCGTAATAGTTCGCCCCATAATAGCCGGGCAAAGCAGCAGCTGTTTGGGGCTGACTGACTCAAGTAGCTCTGGATGGGGTCAGTCATAAACAGTGCCTTAAACTGGCCTAGATTTGGGGTGTGTTTGGGGGCCTGAAGCACCGAACCCAAAAAAGCTTTACACTCCAAATTCTGCTTAAAGAAAAGCTGAATTATGGAATACAGCCACCATTGGTCAAATGGAGCTGTTTTGCATACAATCTTTTATTTTTGCATTATTTATTACATTTATATACCATCTTTTGTCCTCCAAGGCACTCCAAGTGGCATCCATTGCTTCCTGCAAAGAATTATGGGCGCTGTATAACAGACTTTGTGCCAGGAAGGCAAGTCACTATGCCGCCTGCACTCACATCATAAACCTAGCAGTCTAGGCCCCTAATGATCAAATGGCCCACTATCGGCAGTATCTCCATCCCCTGCGAGAGTATCCTTGGCATGACAGAACAACTCCTCGTTCCCCAGGGAAACGGGGCCCTTTTAAAGGGATAATTTCCCTCAGAGTGACGCCATCTTTTCTGGAGACCCTCCTTCTCTGTGACAGCAGGGAGCTGTCACCATGGAGTGGGACGCAGATATCGTGTCCCTAAAGGCTTTGTCCACCAACGTCTCAGCCTCTTTCATCTTCTCCAGGTCAGCCATCTTGGCCTCAAGGGAACAAACCCATTCCCTGGGGCGTAGGAGCTCATTGCGCCAGCCACACACCCATGACGTCTGCCTGACTGGCAGACGAGTGACATTCTGTGCAACACACTAGATAGCCCTGCATATCTGTGTTTATAGTTTATTTGAAAGCTTGGGATTTGTTCAGTCACTAAGGTGAGGGGCAAAGCAGTCTTCCTTAGTCTCCATGCCCTGCTGTCCAACTCCCTCAACTCAGATTGGCGTTCTGTCACTGGAGCCGAGAGGCCTCACACACACCCTCTCAACTGACATCTTAACATTATGAAAGGCCCAGAAGCTCAAAGGTTTTGATCAGGCTGTATTTGGGTTAATTTTTGTTAATTTTCAAACTTGTATATTCTGCATAGCTAGGGAGTGCCCTGAGTAAGTAAGAAATCACTATCTTATTTTTGAGAGGCGCCATTTTCCTCTTCCAAACTGGTGGGTACTTAACTCTCAAAGTTTGGATCCCAAGCTGGGATGAAGAGTCTGAAGTTCAGAAAGGTGCCCTTACCATGTGTTTACCTTGGACCTGGCGATTATCTCCAGATGCCACATCCTAGGCAGTATCTTGGGTCATCTGTTCCTAAATCTAGCCTCGAAGGCAAGCACACCAGCCTTGCTCACTATTCACACTTCACCATCTCTATCCTAATTAAGAAGACGTGCAGAGAGATTAATTATTTTCTTGTTGCCGTGAGCCAATAGCGTTTTAATCAAGCTGTCTCTGTGGCTAACCAATTCATTAGCTGCAAATTAAATAAATCTAGGCTTTTCACCATACTTTAATTGACACTGTCCCTTTGTAGGGGGGAAGAAAGTTGTTCAAGCATCGGTAGCATTGTTGGAAACGATTTGATTTAATTGTCATATCTACATTTTGGCATTTCAACATGCTCTATTCACACCCGAAGAAATAAATTAATGGCCCGTAGCTGCCCTCCTAAGCAAACTGATTGGAAATAAGTCCCACCAAACTCCATGTAATACAAATGTTTTCCCCCACTGTTTATTTCCTCTTTCCCACTCTTTAGCAAACTGAAGGCTTCAAGAAGCGGTGGTTCACCATGGATGACAGAAGACTAATGTACTTCAAAGATCCCCTGGTAAGGCCCATGTTTGCTAATGATCTCAGGCTGGTCCAGGGACGGGCAACTGCAGAACTTCATGGCAGGATTTCAAAACATTCCACTTTCCCAAAGGATTTTTATCTTTGCTTTTCATGATAACGATTCTATGCATATTTGTTTTCAAACAGATTTGTTTTCAATGGTGGCCGTTTTATATATATTTGTATATTTTTGATCAAGTGGCTTATAAATGTTCCAAATGAGTAGGGCGTGGGAATTAATTAGGGCCAGCAAAAACTAGAGATAAGGGTGGATTCTGTTCAGTTCACATTTTCTGTTCAGTTCACATTTTTAAGTCAGTCAACCCGATTCGCACCTCCTTAGTTAATACACATATCAGAACAGGAGTATCCTTTGAATTTCACTATTCTCTGAATTTTGTGATCCAGTTTGTTTGTTTGTTTGTTTGTTTGTTCGTTCATTCATTCATTCATTCATTCATTCATTTTTGTCCCACTGGTCCCAGAAATAGGATTGGACAGACTTATGAATGAACATGTGCAAAACTGTCATGGAATGGAATGAAACTAAATTGATCTATCCAGTTTTGGGGAACTGCAAGTGGGGGGAAATTGTGGTTTGCTCATGTCCCGCTTATGGGCTTCCTATGGGCATCTGGTTGTCCACTGTGAGAACAGAACAAATCTATACTGCCCTGGTGAAACCACACCTGGAGTCCTGTGTCCAGTTCTGAGCACCACAATTTAAGAAGGATATTGACAGGCTGAAACGTGCGCAGAGGAGGGGGGACTGAAGGACCTGGGCCAAAGGCCAAGATGATCAAGGGCCTGGAAACCAAGTCTTTTGAGGAATGTTTGAGGGAGTTGGGTGTGATAAGACCGGTAAAGAGGAGACTGAGAGGAGATAGGATAGCCATCTTCAAATATCTCAAGGGCTGTCACGTGGAAGATGGAGAAAGCTTGCTTTCTGCTGCTCCACATGGTAGGACCTGAATCAATGGATTCAAATGACAAGAAAGATTATTCCAACTCAACATTCAAAAGAACTTCCTGATAGAATCATAGAATTGGAAGGGACCCTGAGGATCATCTAGTCCAACCCCCTGCAATGCAGCTGTCCCATATGGAGATCAAACCTGCGACCTTGGCGTTATCAGCACCATATTCTAACCTACTGAGCGAGGTGATGGGAAGAGCTCTTTGATAGTCTCAGGTTGTGGACTCTCCTTCCTTGGAGGTTTTTAAGCAGAGTTTGGATGACCACCTGTCAGGTTTTCTTTTTGCATTGCATGAGGTTGGACTAGATGACCCTTGGGATCCCTTCTAACTTCATAGTTCCATGATTCTAAGATGATGGACAAGACGGGCCACTGGCCTGATCCAGCAGGGGTCCTCTTATGTTCTTGCCCTTTCACAGAAAAGCTAGGACACAATTTTATTAACCTTAAGTTGGAGATGCGCAGACTGATTGAGATGAATGGGGGAGATAAAGAAACTGAGAACAGATGGGCAGTGGAATAAACTACTGTCTGAAGCTGCAACATCTCCCTGCAGTTTTTGTGTGGAGTTGTTTCTGTCAAGGATGCTGGGGATCAGTTGGGATGCTGGAAAAAATGGGAGAGACTTCCTGTTCATTTTGAAATGACTTCCTTGAAAGGCTGGGGTTTTGTTTTTTTGTATACAGCTTGGAAGCCTCTGTTGAGAAAGGATGGTAGAATTATAGTTTCCAGTTGCCTGAAATAAACCTTAACCTTAACCCTTACCCCCACCCCCCAAAAAGCAACTTGCTGCAGAAATCTTTGAAGCCAAGAAGGCAGGGACATTACGTCAGCTGATCTGTGATAATTCTGTTTGTTATCTCATGCAATGCCTTCATCATAGGAGATATATAGCAACAGTACTTTGTCATAAGCCCCAAAGCCATTTTGAACAGGGACAACAGTGTCAGGCCTTTGGAATCTAGGGGACATGGATGAATTTTTGGAAGAAAAAATGCCAGTGCCTCCTTGATCTTCTGAGATCCTATGCTATGTCGCCCGCACAGGATGCCTTCGCCAGGGGGGAAGTTTTTATTGGAAGCAAAGAAAACAGCTACAAGGTCTTGGAAGGGCTCCCGCCGTCCATACAGGGAAACCACTGGCAACATGGAATCACCATCGTGACTCCAGACAGGAAGTTCCTTTTTGCCTGTGAGACGGAAAGCGACCAGCTGGAGTGGATCGCAGCTTTCCAGAAAGTGATCAGTAGGCCAATGCTGCCGCAGGAATATGCAGGTGAGGTGAGGGGTGGGACGTGACTGGGAATGATGGCGGGTCATCATGGTTCGGTGGCACAGCTTGTGTTTTGAAGATTCGGTTCCCAGCACCTGCTGCAGAAAGGAAGACCTAAGCCCTGCAAGGGAGGAAAAAATGGGTTTCCTCATTCGCCATTTAGAAGGCAAGAAGGTGGAGAGGTAGAGGAAGCTCTCTTAGGCCACATTCACACCGTTTAAAGCACTATCATACCACAGGCATGGCTCACCCTAAAGATTTATGGGAGCTGTAGTTTGTTAAGGGTGCTGAGAGTTGTTAGGAGGCCCCTATGACACTCCCAGGGCCACAATTCCCAGAATTCCCTAGGAAAAGAGACTGACTGTTAAACCGCTCTGGGAGACTGGTCTCTTAACAACTCTTAGCACCCTTAGCAAACTACAATTCCCAGGATCCTTGGGGGGAACTCATGACTGTTTCAAGTGGCATGGTCCTGACTTAAATGTGCAGCGGAGATGGGGTTTTCGAATATATGCCTGGAAATTAAATCAGTTGACTGACTTTTCATCAATCAAGCTATTAATTAATTGATTCACTCTGCATAGGGAATAAAACAAAGAAGTATACAGTACTTCCTTTGTTTTAGCATAGACATCATATTTTAAAAGATGCACTTTGTACTGTACTTTTTGGAGAGTGATTCCTGTGTAGTTTTTACTCTGCCTGCTGGTCTGATTTTTTATTTTTAAAGTTAACCCTCTTTGTTAAGTTTCTATGGAATATATCTATATCTATCTATCTATCTATCTATCTATCTATCTATCTATCATCTATCTATCTATCTATCTATCTATCTATCTATCTATATGATGTTCCCTCCAAAACTATTCTGTACCTGCCATCTGTGGTTTGCATTAGTAGTTTTATAATCAATCAAAAGCATTTAAATCAATCAACTAACTGGCTGAACTTTAAGACACTGGGTTGCATCCTGTTTTGTACACAGAGCAGACCTACTGGAATTAAAAGACACAACTAACTTGCTTTCATTAAGTCCAATAGGTCTGCTGTGAGGAGAACTTGGATGCAACCTGATGATTGTATTTGCACTTAATGGTCAGGCATGGTTTAGTCACTAACCACTTAAGATTGCTGCTGTCCTTTACATGTCAGTGTTTTAATGCTGTTGTTTCCCCCCTCCTCACAGTGGAAGCCCATTTCAAGCATAAACCATAGTAGTATCATGCTGGACAGAACCAAGGAAGGAGAATCTGTTTACAACCCAATAACATTGTTTGTTCCTTGCAATGTGAGCAACGACAACATATTCAGCAAATCACGTCGGACTAGCAAGGTGGGAGGTGCTATAACAGGGGCCTCTGGGCCGGCGACAACAGTGTTGTGGGGCCAAAGCAGACACTTTTTTTTTAATACATATGAAAAGTTGCATTTCCTAAGCTGGAGGCGATGATGCGTTTCTTAACATCTCAGGCTGTCTGAAGCACTTCCCTTGGGGACATTGTCCTTGGACATGTAACATTTGGCAAGAGGCTCACCGCAGGAGATTTGGGAAAATACCCACAGTCCACTCCCTCCTTAAGCAGCAATGTTGCCCAAACACTTTCTTAAAGGGTCTAAACATCTCCAGCGACCAAGGATGTCTTTTTCAGAGGATGGCAGCCGTTTGCTTGACATATACTGAGAAAACACCCCGGAAAGGGTGTCCTTTGTTATGCTTAAACCCACTAGGAAGAATCATCATGAAGCCCAGAAGCACTGTGCACGATGCTGACATTTCAGCAAAAGTCAGCTGGTCACCGCATCCTGCAAAGCGTCACTTCATACAACTGTTTGACGAAACGTTTATGCGCATTGGTCTGTGGTTCGCCTATCGCCTTGAGATGCTACAGGTCTAAGCAGCAGGTGCACCTCTGCTGGATGAGATGGCTTTGGTCATGGCGTGTGGCAGTGGTGGCACGTGAGGGGGAAGGCAGAGGAAGTGGTGCTCCCCCACCAGTGTGCTTGTCATGAGAGGGCGAGGCGCTGGCAGTGAGGTCACCACCAATCTGAAGCTCCTTTGATAGTGAGCACGCCGCCACTCACATACCTCTGCCTCTGTCCCTCCTCACTCTTTGAACAACCACTGGTGTTTAGGCATTGGGACCTGTTCACGGAGTATTTGAATGGAAGATGGTTATTCTAAGCCATGCAGCCTGGTGTGGTTCTGGGCTGAGGCAGGCAACTTGGTGGCCGAGTTAAAAAGTCCCTCCCCTAATTTCACCCCCCACCCAATACGCAAAGAGGGGGCAGTGTTTACCTGTCGTGGCAATTATGCTTGCAGCTCCAAGTGTGTGTCTTTTTCTTTGCTCTTTTTGACCTACTGGGCTTCAGCGGGATGACCGGAAATCTGGTCCCCGTTCTGATGATGATTCCATTTTTTGACATGATCTTATGATGAAGCCATTTTGGAGTGAGGGCGATGGCTCCTGACCTCACTCTTGATGGACTCCCGGGAGTGCAACTGATAGTGCTGGCACCATCACAAGAAAAGTGGTGGAAGCCATGGAAAAGGTAGAGAAAGCCTTTCATATATGAAACTTTTCACACACTCCTCAGCTCCAACAAAACTGGTCCACCAGAGAGGCTCTTTAGAATCTGTTTTGCTACCTCTCTGAGGTTATTGATGTAGGCCAAAAAATGTGGCTACCTATATTTAATTTTTACTTGGGAGGCCACAGATTGAGCAGGCCCAGCCTGAAGTGTGGTAATCAGACCTACCTTTCCTTTCTGAGCCCAGAGAGTGTTGTGACTTTATTTCGATTTTCATTAACAAAGGGAGCCATTCGTTGTAAAAATTAACAGGAAAACTTCTTCCACATAAGCTCATTGTTAACATCATGGGATTCTCAGCTGGACTCTTGCTACCGAGCTGAAATATATTCAGTCCTTTGGAAGTGTGCCCACATACACACTTTATTCCCGAAAATGGTTGAATGGCTTTGTGTGACTGGTGTGGTTTTGAGATAAAAATTAGTATGTGGGAAACTGGGCACAAATCGGCAAGCTAAGCACTTTTAAGGCTGCAATCCTGTGCGCTGCTTGGGAATGGGAGTATCTCAGTGGGCAGAACACCTATAGTGCATGCAGAAGGTCTCAGGTTCAATCCCCACAATTAGGGCTGGGAAAAACTCTTACCTGAAACTCTGGAGAGCCATTGCCGGTCAGTGAGGCCAATACTGAGTGAGGTACCTTTGGTCTAACTTGGTATAAGCCAGCTTCCTATCAGTGCAGTGGGATTTTCTGGGATTGGCCTGCATCACCCATTTGTTTCAATGAGGGTTAAGCACATGCTTAAATCTCTCCCACTGGATTCCATAGGTCTTGAAACTGGCTGGGCCGTACCTATGCATTGGTATGGCCAGGTGGATATTGCACTTGTCCCCTCCATGGAAGAGAATGGGGAAACCTTGTGTGCATGAGTGTGCGCACAGGGCTCTCTGGACAAAGGTGACTTTCAACGTTCCTTCTGTGCTGCTAAATTGTAACTTGAGAAGTGACCTTAACAAAAAAAAAAGCACACTGCTCTGAGAAAACGGTGGGGGAATTGAGCCCCGAAACTTCCTGAAGGATGGGGAATCTGCCTGTGATGTTAGTAACAGATGGATACTTTGATGAAACAAAGGGTCTTCATGTGGCCAATCTAAGCAAAAGCCCTTGCAGAAAGTTTCATGTCACACCATAATCCTACAACCTTGGCATTATCAGGAGATGGACTCAAGTCCCTGAAACTCATGCCACAAAACTCATGTGGCACAAAACAAATATCTTTGCTGATTTTGCTGCAACTGACTTAACTACTCCTCCCCCTGTAAATCGATCTGGCTCTAATTATGTGCAGCTTGCCACATAACCAGAGTCCTCTGGTGGGGATGTCTGTCTGTATAGCCCTAACCCCCCACTCAACCCTCCCCAACACAAGTTCAATAGGCCCAGCTGATCATTGCAATATGGATGAATTCAGAATGAACACCACATGAGCTTCCAGAGACAGACTTCCCTTGCTGGATCAGGGTGAAAGTGTGTGACTTGCTCAAGAGTGCATCTCTGCAATCTTATCCCGGGCCAGCCCTACTATTTGACAAAGTGGGCAGCAAAAGCTGGGAGGACACAGCTGGGTAGCTCTCAAGCAGCCTTCCTTGCGCCCCACAAACTAGCCTGCTGCCTTCAGGTATGGCGGAGGAAGCTCTTTTTGCTGCCGGTGTTAATTCAATATTCACTTGCCAATCAGTTCAGTTTCTGTACATGAATAGCGGGGCGGGAACATACCACTGCATCCTTTGTCTCGGGCAGCAAAACGTCTTGGTCCAGCACCAATCTACCCATCCCTGCACTGAAGCATGTCCCAGTCTAGTACTGGGTTTGTATCCTTTTCACACTGATGAGCAGAATGGAGTTGGTCCTCAGGGCATTACTTGTTTTGGGCCCAGACTCTGCAATGCCACTGCCTCATTCAGGGAAAGCCAGAAAAATCCCACAGGGTGTCCATTGAAAGGAGCGGCACGTGGGCAAGAGAAATGGACAGAACATCCCTGTTGGTTTCCACCCAGGGTTGACTTAACAGCAGCTTGCTGGCGGCTGGGTGGGAGGTATGGAAGTGAAATGGTTCTGTACCCAAGAGATTCCTATAGAAGACTGAAAGGGCCATTTCCCAGGCTCAGCATGCAGCTTCTTTGGGTAGCTGCTGGTGGTCCCACTGTCCCAACCAAAAGCATTGCTGGTGCCTGTTCTGGCTACCACCTGCCGCCTTCGGGGAACAAAAAAAAGCAGCTGGGCTTGGGAACTGCTGTGTTCGTTTTGCACAATGTTCTGCAGTGATGCTACATCAGGGCCATTGTGGGAAATTGCAACAGCGGCATCGGGACCTTGGCGTCTTCTGCTGCTGCCTCTTTCAGGTGCACACTCGCAAGGGCCCTCTGACACAGAAAGGGGGCGCTCTGGAGGGCTTTCTGCTAAGACCACCCCCCTCTAACCCAAAGCGGGCCCTATAAGCCCCCCCCCTCAACAGAACAACCCCAGTTTACACAACAGTGGTAATATTTATTGTTCCAAAAAAACCCCAAACAAACCACTATGCACTGTACGAGTGGAATGCATCAGAAACATGTCAGGAAGCAAAGTTCATATAGATTTGGTGAAAGACCCATTAGCTGCAACGGTTGTCCTGCAGAGGTTGTTGGACTACGGCTCCCATCATGCCATATCATCCGCCAGAGTGGCTAGGACTGATGGGAGGAAGAGTCCAACAATATCTGGAGGTACTATGCTGGCTATTCCTGGCCGAGGGCATGAGATCATAGGTCTTTCTTGCTCCTTTTTTTACCCCCAGCTAAGTGGCTGTTGCAGAAGTTCATAGATTTTGCTGCTGCCAGATAATCACCCCCAACTAACAAACCTTCGCTGGGACTCTTGAAGTTAGCAAACAAGTTACAATATGGTAAATATTTCTGCCTTACGCTATTATAAGCCACACGCCCCCTCTTATGGTTCTAGCCGTGTTTACCTTTCTATTGTAGTAATACTGACAGATTTAGCCAGCCTTCATGCTTTGCCAACATCTGCTTGCTCTATCACTTGGTTGGCGCTTCGTCTCCCCTCCCCCCGCTGAATTATATTAATTCTCGCTCCCCCACAGGCTCAACAATAATCTCCACCAATTTCTCAAATTATGCAAGAGAGAGCACACCCACAGCAGTATCAGTGCCACACACAATACAGCCTTGGTTTCCCCCTGAAATGATTGCTCAACTTCAGTAAAAGGGAGAAAGGGTGAAGCTGGTATGTTTCAAGTCTCAGAACAGAATGCATTTCTTTCTTAAGTCAGTGTTTGTAAGATAAATGCCCTCTTATCCATTGCATACATGTGTTAAGTCGCTGGTTATAAAAAAGATTTGGTACTAAATGTCATCCATGCCAATAAATTATTATTCTGTCTGATCAATGGAGACAAATGTCTGGTTAAATTTGTGGAGCAAATAAATTGGTGATGCAGGCAACATGATAAAGAGTTTTCAAAATATCCGGTATCAAAAGCAGTTTTAAAAGTGAAGACGGCATTATTGCATCTCAGTAAGTTTTACTTATAGCACACAAGAGCAATAAATGCTTGCCCACAAAGGAGCCCAACTCATGCAGAGACGTGACGGCAAACCTCATCTGACCCGGAGAGACTGGATGAT